GGAATAAGGTTCGTTATCGTTAAATTATTAATTTGTTTGACTAGAGGAAAATATTGAACGATATAATTTAAATCGATAATTTAACTCTTTCATTTTTTTTTAGGAAAGTCTTTTTTCAGCTCAAAAAATTAATTTTAATTTTCAGGTAAAGTCCCCTTAACTTAAATATTTTCCGAGTTTTTCTCTAAAATATTGCTGATCACACAAGGACAAAATATCATAAAAAATAGTATGAGTAATTCAAGGTCCACCTTCGTGAGTAATACCAGTAATGATGAGAGTAATAGTCACATTTCTATATGATGAATAATATGGTATGTATCTCTCTCTCTACATAAAAGTTTAAGAGTAAATCTTTGATGGTATCTCTTGTAAACTTGAACCTATTTAATTAGTTCCTCTATAACTTTAAGTTTCGTTTCTTATACATGATATATAAAATAGGTCAAATACTCAGAGTTAGGAGCTGAAAACCTTAAAAGAATGACTTTAAAGTTAGTTCAGCTTTTAAAATTAACCTTTTCCGATCGGCTATTCGAAAAATGACGTATCCCCATGCGACTAAATGTTGTGAAATAGCAACATTCAGTCGAAATAGGTTAAAAACAGAACGAATGAATCGAGCACAAAAGAAGATCATATTTCGTCAATTTTATATACTCGAATACAGTATCGTAGATGATATATCCTATTACGCAAAACACTTTATATATATGTGCCACATAATAAAGAATATCAATACATGTGACATATGGAAAGTAATAAAAGTCGAGATATAAATATTAGGTAAATATTGATCAAATAACTGGCACAAAAAAGAAAGAAACTTTAAAATTGTGACGAATCGAAACATTTTTGGCCATGAATATTATATGCATATAATTAGTAAACATACGCAGTTGTGCATACTGGTTATACATTGACTTCATAAAATTTTTTTCTATTTCACGGTTCTTTTTTAATATATGAAGATGACCGTGCATGGATGTTTCTTTCGAGTAAAGAAGCTTCTTTTTTTTCTTTTCGTCTAAAACACTCTAGACGTCATGACCGATACTTCCCGCAGCTGTATATACACATATATATATGATATTATTCACTAACGAAAAATCATTGGGGCATGATAAGACAAACTACGTGGGCCGTATGAGAAGTACATAGAAAGAAAATAGATCGAAAATCAATAGGTAAGCAGTGAAATATATATTTTTCTCTTAATGCATTATGATGTAGAGAAATTGAAGTTACAGTGTTTTTGTCGATCGTATAAAACGATCGTCACATAAAAGGCTCCCGTAATTGTCAAATGAGAGGCAAATATTATATTGGAAAAAAAGGCATGTTTTATCTATGATTTATATATTATAAAGAACACATAAAGCCTTATTTGATTCCACTTTATAATATAAGCGATAGAAAATGTCGAGAATCAAACTCTTTTCACGTTTACTATATGCTAATACTTTATAGAATTTAATTTTTTTTAGATTTGTATACGTATTTTTAATAATCAAGCTTTTTATTTTTTTTATTGCTTCCTTATCTGTCAAGTAACTATATTACTCATTAAATGTATTTCAAAACATGTTTACACCACATTTTGACTATCCTACGTTCGACGCATGCTCGTCTGTCACTATTGACGTGTTTCTTTATTTTATTTATTTTCACCTTCCGCTATAATATTTTAACACTATTTTATATTGGTCAAACGTACGTAACATGGTATCGATTTTATTCGGGTGTAATCACTTCAAAAGATAATTTCGACACTACATTCTCTAGTTATCCAATAAATCAAACATCAGCTAGACCAAATTATACAGATTTAGTACCAGCTATAATACATCATATTGTTATTGGTGATATTGATATAAGTAATCATCCAACATGGACAACGTCAAGAGATGCTTGTCTAAAATTACATCCAGATTATGAATATAAATTTTGGAATGATTCACTAGCCGAAGAACTTATTCGAAAAGAATATTCATGGTTTTTGGAAACATGGAAAAGTTATCGCTATCCAATACAACGTGCAGATAGTTTACGTTATCTTGTTCTCTATCATTATGGAGGAATATTTCTTGATATGGATCTTCATTGTCGTCGTTCATTAGGACCACTTCGTCGTTTTGATTTTATTTCACCAGCTGCTTATCCTGTTGGAATATCAAATGGTTTTCTTATGGCTTCAGCTCATCATCCATTTATTAAAGTTCTCGTTGATCAATTACCTTTGTTTAATCGAAATTTTATTTTTCCTTACGCAACAGTAATGTTTTCAACTGGCTGTATGTATATATCAGCACAATATTCACTTTATAATGATCATTGTCGTCTACGACTCTTAGATTATAAACAACATCGTCTAAGTGGTCATGTATCTACACCATTATTTCATCATTATGGTAGTAGTAGTTGGCATTCAGGAGATGCATCATTTATTAAACAAGCAGATTATCTTATAAATCGTCTGATTTATCATCAACAATTATTTTTTATTCATATCTTCGTATTCATTATTATTATTATTTATGTATTATATCGTCGACGAAGAACAAAAAAAGAAGAAAAACTAGAGTATATTTTGTTAACATAAAATATATGTGTATATTGTTTTTCTTCTTAACATCTAAGCCGTCCATATATATTTATTTATATATAAATTTTTTATATAATTTTAATTACTTTCACTCCGAAATAAAAATAGGTTAATAAACAGATAAATTCATCTATTCTAGATTAATAAAAAAAAAGAAATGAATAAATTAAAACAATTTTGGTATAAAAAACAAAATTCTTCACATGATTTATTAGACGAAATAGATCAAGTATTACTCTTAGATAATCATGAACATAAATATTCATCTCGTTCAATAAATACACGATTATTTATTCGAATATATCATTGGACATGTACACATAAAATTTTGACTCAACTAATTACTTGTATTTTTATACCAGTTTTACTTTATATATTTTTAATTATGTTATCAACTAATCAAGCATTTATTCCAAAAGAATTTCAAGAAAATCATCATCGTCTTCTTTTAATTGCTGCTCATCCCGATGATGAATGTTTATTTTTTTCACCAACATTACGTATTCTACAAACACAACATCATGTAAATACAAGTTTATTAATTTTATCACGTGGAAATCATGTTGGTTTAGGTGAAATACGTGCTAGAGAATTACATGGCTCATGTCGAGCATTAAATATTCCACAAGAACGTTGTATATCATTAGATTTATCTTATATGCAAGATGATCCAAAAATTTGGTGGTCTGAAAAACAAATAATTCCTCTTATAAATGAATATATTCGTTTATGGTCTATTGATTTTGTGGTTTCTTTTGATGATTATGGTATATCCGGTCATATGAATCATCGAGCAATTGCGTCAGCTGTTCGTTTACTAGTACAAAATAAAACTAATACAATGATTAAAATGTCTTATGAATTAAAATCGGTTTCTGTTCTTCGTAAATATTCATCATTAATGGATTTTTATTTTGTATTTCTATCATTTATTCCACGTCTTTTACATTCATTTTTCTCATATATAATACCATTTAATTTAATTTCATCACCCGATGTGTCTCGTATATTACTTGTTAATACACCTAATGATTATATGGCATCTCGAGCTGCTTTTGCAAGTCATCAAACTCAATATAATTGGGATCGACATATATATTTAATTGCAAGTCGATATATGTTTATTAATGAACTAAAAAAAATAGAATAATTTAAAGTTATTTGTCAATAAAAATATAAAAATATAAATCAAGATATTTATTTATTCATTACAATGTCCTTGTGGATAATGTAAAAGTACTCCATCATTTATTAATATTTGTTTAATATTAACTGCTTGTACATCAATAGTACCATTTAATATTGAATAAGCAGCTGCATATCCAGAAGCACCACCTGATAACATAAAATGAGGTTCAACACGAGTAGCGGCATATGCAACATGAGAAGCTGCATGACATACAGGAACAAGTAAATTTGTAACTTGGCTTCGTTTTGGTAATAATATTGAGTAAGGTATTTCAAAAGCTGGTCCACTCTTATAATCCATAATTTAATAAAGATTTTCGTGTTAATTCTGGAACAAGTGGAGATATAAGAATATAGCAACTACATAATCTGATACATTATGTGCAATATGAATACGATCTTCAACTGTTCCATTAATATAATTTTGATTTAAATTAATTGCATCACTTGTAAATGCACTTTCAAAACGATCACACATATCAAATTTATCACCAGATGGATATTGTCCTGAAATTATCAATGAATTAATATATCGTTGTAAAATAACGAAATTATTTGGATCATAACTTAATGGTTTAATAAATGGTGCTTGTTTTTTTTGTTTGTCGGTGTTATACATAAACGATATGAATATCCCATTATATTTAAATCTACAGAACCTACTAAACCTAATTTCATTCATGAAATATATGGAGCTAATGTTCCATTATCTAAAGTAGCATTGACAGGATAATTAGGAATAAAATTAGCAAATGTTGTATATGGTTAAAAACCAGCTAATGGTTCATTATATTGATTACGTGATTCTCTACCCCATGTAAATGAAGCACCTGAAAATCGAACAAGATCACCTACATATCAGGTTGATAGATAGGATTTGAAACATTTTTATAATATTTATAATTATTATTTACCCCTTCTTGTGTAATAGAACCCTTAACTACATTTAATTAAATGACAACATACGAATTAACTCTCATAATTACTCAAGTTACTACTAATCTCTAAACCAAGATCTCGTAAACCAATTCCACCAGCTGTGGACATTCCACCAATATCAGCTGTCGGTTCAATTATAACAATTGAAAAAGAAGATGATACTCGAGCTGCTGTAATTGCTGCAGAAATACCAGCAAGTATAGCTCCATAAATAGCGATATCATATGCACTACTGATGAAGCAGACAAATTAAGGAAGAATATAAACTGATGAAAATATCATTGTTATTAACCTTTGTGCTTTCGAACTAAAATATCCACACAAGTATTCTCTTATCTTTTCACGTAACTATTGGTTGAAATTATGTTTATTGAATATATGAATTAGATGTATTATTTTTTTGGATATACGTCGAAGAATGATATATTTATTTAAATTTTTTGTTATTAATATATAATCAATAGTGGAAAATCTTCGTTGTATATCGTTCTTTTTCTCATTCCATAAATCAACAATTAAAAAGAAAAAAAGAAAAACGAAAAAAAAGGCAATGAATGAATGAACATAAATAAAAATTAGTATATTATATTAAAGGCAAACTAAAAGTGTACCATAAATTAAAAAAGAAAAAAAAAGAGAGACGGAAGTTTATCTTGATATTTTCAACTTTCAAGTATAAGTTAATTATACTTAAAATAGAAAATAGGTTCGATAACCTTAAAGCAAGGAGAAAGAATAACAATCTACACCACTCAATGATATGAAACAGTTGTCCCCCATCTACATGACGTACACAGATAAGATTTATATACATATAACAAAGTATATTACGTAAAGTTTCACAAGATGCACGAAAGAGAAAAAAAAATCATGTTCTAATTAAAAAGACGAACTACAAATAGAGGTGCACAAGACGTTCACTGTTTAAACACACATATCGTTCGATAAATCTGATATAGAATAGATTACCAACTGAAAAATTGTTGATTCATTAATTGTGATTATTATTATTGGTCGCTTCCTAAAGAAAAAAAAACGTTTTTTTAGAATTAATAAATATATACAAAGAGAAATAAATTTGATGCTGCAAGCAAAACCAAATATGGGAAAAATGCTAGATTTTTCTGATGCTAGTTATATAATAAAAGAAAAAAAAAGAGTCAAACAAGCTTTTTTACTATTACCAAATTAGCGAGTGCCTACAAAAATGATATATGGATTATTTAAATATATAAATAAAATATTTTATTTCTATCCGATAGATTTAAGATTGCAAAGTATAACATACGTTTTGATCCCAACCAGCATCTTCACCGGCCATTTGATAATGTTGTTTTCGTAATGTATATAATTGTTTTTTAGCTTGTTCTAATGCTTTTTCTAATTCAAGTACTTTAACTTGAGCATCCATTTCTTTTCGTTTTGTTTGATGAAGACTTAATGAACTGAAATCCATTGTACCTGAAATAAACCAAGATTTTCAAATATTAAAACTAATTTCCGTATAACGTTAAATACGTACTCTTTTCTTCAATAATTGCTGCACAATTCTTCGCTGTAGCAACAACTTGTGCCGTTGATGAATTAACTGCTTTAGATGCTTGTGAAAGCGCTTCACGATTTTTCGATTCACGATCAGCTTTAACCTAATTAACAAAATAAATTTAGAATATAATACAACAAATTTTTTACATTTGAAGCTGCAACAAGTTGTGCTGTTGCTGCAGCTATTTCTTGTGAACAAGCAATAATTTCTTCAAATTTACCGGTACCACCTAATAAATGATCAGCGGATTCACTAAAATAAATAAAATATGTACTTTTCAATTCAAAGTAGGGATGAATGAACATGCCCATGCAAGTCATAATAAAATATCTTCACATTTCTCGCCCAAAGGAATAAAAAGAAAAAAAAAGGATTCCCAAAAAATAAATATAAATTTTTCCAACACATGCAAGTTCTCTTCAAACACACTCGAAATAGAATAAAACACAGCAGATTATTTAAACGCACATGTCATTGTCAAGAAAGTTAAATGTTTTTTTACTATTTTTTTATATAAAAAAAAATCTGGAAATAATTTTTACTAAAATAAGAAAATCTATTGTACTAATAACTTACATTAAAACTTTTGCATTAACACCAACATTTTTCGCTGCTGATACGAGACCTTCGGTCCATTTATGATTTTTTGTATAAAATTCACGAGCACTTGCAGTACCCTATTAATAAAATTTCAAAAAAAAGAACAATTCAATAAAATATCTTTACTCGTCCTTGTCCAACAATTTCTTTTTGAAGGTCTCGTGCTTTGTTAATTAAAACTTTAATTGTTTGCATTAATTTACCACATGAATCAAGTATTTGTCCATTGACTTCACATTTAATACCCGTATCTTGTTCACGAGATTTAGCCATCATTGCCTAGAAGAAGAAAAAAAAGCGATAGTTGTATTATATATTATTTAATTGATTAGTACTTCAAGTTGTCGAACAGCTTCATCAATTGTTTCGTGAGTTAATTGAAGTTCTTTTTCAACAAGATCACCTAATTCTTCTTTACTTATATCAGATACCTTTGAAATAAAATTATGAATATTTTCTCTATGTTCATAAATATATATACTTTAGGTAAAAGTGTTGTTGTTTTCTCAATAAGAGAATTTAAACGACGAATTAAATCATTCGATTGTTTATCAAAATCAGTATCTGTCGATGCTAGAATAAAAAAATAGTTCCTTTAAAATTTAAATAGATTTCATTAACGAACAAGCTTGATAATTTGAATAAAGATCAATACATTGAAGAGTAGCATCACGACAATTGTCAGCTACGAGAACACTTTGATCAACATCTTGTATGAGATTTGATGTAGCTTTTCCATGTACAACAATATCAACCATAGAATTCGATAATGTAATACATTCGTTCAAGAATGGAAATGTCGCTGTTAAAAGTATTTACAGAATAGAAGATATCGTACTAGAATATTAATACATACATTCATCTTCAGTAAGTTGTTTTTTCCATAAATCTTGTGTTGTCTTTGCGTTAGCAACCGCCATTCGAAGTTTCGATAGAAGATATTCAGCCCCACTTTTACAATTTAATAAATCAATATCTTTCGTACGTTCAATTCCATCATGCATTTGATTAATACAAAATGTTAAAATTGAATCTAAGGAATAAATTTAAAATTTAAGTAAGAAGATTTTAATTTTTATTATACATTTATATTGTTGTTTTAAATTATTCATCATATTTGTATAATTTGTTTGTACAGATTTTTGATTATCAGTTATATTGACATATTTAGTTGCCCATTCACGTGTTGCGGCTTCTAATTCAGAAATTTTATGTTCAAGTTCTTCTTTCTCATGAACTAAATCAATTAAACTTTCTTCATGTTCCTAAATAAATAAAAACAAATGAATTTATTTTTTTTGGTTTTATTAAAAATATATTTTACTCGATTTCTATCTAATAAATCTTGACGATCAAGGTTAGCATCTTGTATTTGTTTTTCGAATTCTAATTTTTCATTTTCTAATTTATTATTAATTAATGATTTTTCACTTTCCAATTCTTTAAATCGTTCTTCCGCACTCTAGAAACAAAATTATATATTTATTAGATATATAATAATCTATACTTGTTTAGCATGTTCAATTTGTTTAATACGTTCAGTTGTTGTCTGTGTTGTAATTTGAATCTCATTACGTTCAGTTGTTAATGCTTGTATTCGATCTTGTAATTCCTAATTTTTTAAATATAGAATTAGAAAAATTTCTTCAAAGTCCTTACACTCTCCCGTTTTTCCATGGATATTTTTAACTCAGTTAACTGTTCTCTTTCTCGATTGGATATTTCGAATTGACTTACGATATGCTAATAATGAATAGATGTAAGCAAGAAAAAGAATTATTAGCATAAGTACCTCATTTGCATGCTTTAAATCTGTTATAATATCATTCGATTCAATTAGTTTAGTATCGTTAGTGGAATTTATAGTTTTTAACTGATCAATGGTATTTAATAAATCCTTTAGGAAAAGAAAATATGTAGTTTTTTTTGTTTAATATAGATTCATGCATTTTACTTGATCTTTTTGTTTAACTTCCTCAAATTCATGTTGAATGATGTTAACTTTATCATTAAACTCATTTGTTTTATTTTGTATAGTACTTTCCAGTGTTTTATTTATTAATTGAACTTCTTCTAAATTTTTCTGATTTTCCTATAGATGATAAAGTAAATTCATCTTTTATATCGAGATGAATTTTCATGTTCGATGAGTACCTCAATAGAGGAGAAAAAAAACATACTATGATGTAATTCTGTTTTTTATCATTCAGTTCTTGTGCAAGTGTTTCGATAGTTTGTTTTAGAATTGTTACATGTTCTGTCTGCTCCTGTAAAGTCTGTTTAAGATTCTAAGTATTACTAAAACAATTTTTTCTTAGGCATTTGTCAGACAAATTAATAGAATTTACTTGGCATTGATTATTACTATCATTCAGAATCGTCCTCGTGCATCCCGCGCGGGGACGGAAATTTTTTAAAAACTGCATTTTTCGGGGAAATATTTTGATTTTTGAGAAGATTCTGCACCTGTGCAATCATTCAATTTGAACTGATCTCATTCAAATTTTATATTATTCATATCCGTATAGATATTGTAATTACATACATACAAATATTTTTCTCTCGTAATATAATATTAAACTTACATCATTTGTTTGTCGTAATTGAGTAATTTCTTGATTAAGTTCTTCATGATTATGTATTTTTAATTGTTCATAATCGGTTTTAATACGATTAAATTCATTACTCATTTTCTATAATATATATAAAATATTTTAGAAATATTTTTTCGAAAATTAATATTTCTACTTGATGAGCTTCTTTTAATTGTGTATGTTCTTGATTTAAATTTGCTAATTGTTTTTTAACTTCACCTTCCTAAATTCAAAGAAATTATTCGTGCATAATATCTCAGTGTGTAATGAAACATACACGACGTAAAACAACAATGTGTTCTTCACGTAATTTATTATAAGCTTCGAGCAATTTATTAAATTTTTCATCGGAATTTGATTTATCTAAATAAAGAAACTTTGTTTTTGTTTTAAATAAAAATATTAGATTTACTTTCAAGTTTATGCATTTCTTCTACACGTCGTTGATTATCTAATTGTTGACGAAGTTGATCTTCAAGTTGTAAACGATGCTTAAATCGAAAAAGAAAGTATTAATAATAAAAAAACTTTTTATTTTAATTACATTTCGTTCCGTAACTAGTTCAGTATCTTTCGCAGCAATAAGTCGATGTAATTCATCTGTTTCAGAACGATTTTCTCGTAACATAATATCACACTATAATAAATAATTATTATTTAACTAAAATATGTGTTTCATTTACTTTTAATAATCTTTGTTCCAAATCAGTAATTTCTGTTGATCTATTTTATTAAAATAAATTTTAACGAGAAAATTTTGCAGAAAAATATATACGAACCGATCAGGTAAATTTACATATCCATTGGGTGCCGCCCAATCATCATTACTTGGAAAATTTGATATTGATCTTGTCTAAATATTATAGATTAAAATAAAGATATTATTAACCGTAGAGTTCTATAGACTAGCAGAATAAGACAAAAGATTTTGCTCTGGATTTGAACCTTTTACTTCTATATTTTTATATTTAGATTAGAAAAAATATTATAGTAAAACATTGATGGTTATTTAAAAATTATGTAAAATCGTTTTTTAATTGGTTATTTGTTCGAACAAACATTTTCAGCAAGTAAATCTAGATCTTATCGAATACTTCACTCAAAGGTTAACCAACATTATGTTCACTACTGAAAATATATGGCTTCTATATAAAAGTCAAACATGGCTTAATAAAATGTCAATTACATTTTAGAAAAGTTATCTTTAGCTTTAAACCGTGATTTCTATTTTTGAAAATTACGAATAGCTTTTTTTTCTCTTACATCATCACTTGTATCAATAAGAATATCATCAATAGTTTGTGTTGGTTCCGGTGGTGGTGTATGTATAATAGCAACTGGTGTTTGATAATTTTTAATATCATCTTTTAATTTAAAATTTGGTGGTTGCTAATAAATACATATATATATATTTATAGATAAAGGAAATGAAATTCTTTCTTACATCAGGTAAACTCGGAACTTTGATTAAATCTCTAAAATATTGCAATGTTGATGATTGTTCATAGAAACGTTTTAATCTTCGAAATTGTTCGATTAATCTTTGTCGATGTCCTTGAAGTGTATCACCAGGTAAACCTAAATATATTTATATATTAATAAAAAATAAAATAAAAAATTTATTTTTTTTTGTTTACTATCATGAAGTTTAAAAAGAACTTTAACGATATAATCATATAGAATACTTGAATCTTGTATACAAAGAATAAGTGGATGAAGACGACATTGACCAGCTGTTGTCATTGAATTAGCGCGTGATTGATCAAGTGATGTAAAAACAACTTCAACAAGACCTAATAATTCTTCCATATAATCAAGTAATTCAATACATAATTGAAAATATGCATCTAAATTATCATTAAATATACGTCGAATATCATTTTGTTCACCAATTGATAAATTTCCCGAAAATGTTGGATTTCGTTCATGAAATGTTAATTTTGATATCATTAAACGGCAATAACGATATGTCATTACACCATAACTTTGTCGTAAAGCGCTCTAGATTGAAAATAAAAATACGAATTGATTTTTGAAATAAACAAAAAATCATTTAAATAATTGTGCAAATTGAGCGAGCATCAAGAATCTTTCGTACAAACCATATTATTCCCTCCCGATAAATGATGTTCCGAAAAAGGTGACTGAATATCTGTTTAGTTTTTTTTTCAAATATTATGATAAAATAATACGTACCCAGAATTTGCCTAATTGTTCAAAATATGGTGCTAATGGAACAGAATCATGTACGACCTATATTAGAAAATGTATATAATCCTTATTTATTTACTCTTAATAAATCTCTACTTACATGTTTATGTCCATCTCTTAAAATTCGATGCATAACATAGCAAAATTTCCAACAGACAATCGGATGTGATTCCAATTGAAGTCGTGTCATCATTGCCCAAAAAAGACGTCCACCTTCGAGTCGAAAAGTACCAAGTATAAGATCTAAATTAAATTAAAAATATAATTACACAAAAAAAAGAATTAATAATTTTCAATTTCTTACTTCGAACATGTTTTTCTTTAGCTGGTGATTCAATACTATTAATAGCCTTTGTTGCACTTTGCCACTAATGAAATAAATAATTTTAGTTTTTACAAAAGAAACAAAAAATAATTTCTTTACTTGACTCCATTCAAATTTATCTCGTTCAACTTGATCAGCTGCTTTTCGTCGTACTGGAATATTTGTTACCAATTGATTTAAATTAACTGTACTTGCGCGACGATTAAAAACACTCATCTTCAACAAAAAATAAAATGAAAATGATGTATTATTTGAGTCACTATGTCAAATGTCAATAGTAAACAACAGTTTTTGTTTTTGTTTGCACATGTTTTCTTCCGTGTTGATATAAGAAAAGAAAAATAACAGACTCTAATACTGACTCATGTAAAAGGCTCTGATAAATAACTCTTTTTTTTCTCTTTCTACTTTGTATTCTTATCGTTATATCGCTTAGGTAAACCTTTTGTTATCGATTAATAGTGCATATATATTCATGTTCCAGACAACAAGACATATGATTAAATATAAAAAAACAGGCATATCACATATGTTTATAAATACGAGGGTGGTATGTGATGTATATGTAATAGATTGGAATCATGTTCAAGGTTAAAACACAGTTAGATATGGATTAATTACAAAAAGCTCTATGATTTTACATTTGTAAATAAGACATCGATCGATCAAAAAGATTCAAAGATAGAAAGGAAGAAGAGAAGAGAAAAATAATGACGCCCGAGTATAGACAAACAACTGGATGAAGATTGTCCATTGATTTTATTTTTATTTTTTTTGCAACTTATCGTAATTTGTAGAGGTCGTAGATTGTCAATCGAGATAATATGAATTTTATTTTCTAATGATAATAAAACATATCTTTAGATTAAGTTTTATCAAATGCTACGCAGAGGTAAAGAATCTTCCTCATGCGCCCCCGGGGAGGGGGAAGGGGAATTTTTAAAAACTGCATTTTTCGGCGAAATTTTTAAAAATTCTGAGGAAACTTTTGAAAATTTACTCCGGGAAAATTTTTTTTTGGGGAGATTCTGCACCTCTGATGTTACGACGACTACATATTATCATAAAGATATTTTTCCTTGAAGCAGTTATATGATTTAAAAAATGTTATCAGTAAAACTTGAGAGATATTCAGTGCGTGATCATTGTATTAGAAAAATTATCATATAGGATATATCTATATTTTATACAATTTAATTCAATGAGTTCGAATTTAATGCTCATTAACATGGAAGAGAAGGTTAGAAATATTTCATGATATTTTACTGCATATATGAATAATTATGTTTACATTCATGACTTGTATGAAATATCCAGAACATGTACTATCTTTTTCGAAATATGTTTCGATCTTTCATATAATTATTTAATAGAATTTATTGATCGGAACATTGACTTTTTCCAGTGTATTATTCGTGAAACTTGTAATGCATGCTCAAAGAAACATATGTAACCAAAAAACCGATATGATGTACTTTTATCATCAATATAGGTACGTTTACTTGATTTAGATGATTCATGTATTATAAAGTCTTAGAATTCGATAAAATATTTTAAATTTGCTGTGGTATGATGTAGCAAATATGCAGAAATAGTGTGATAGTTGTATTGGTGAAAGTTATATAATATCATTTTTGAGTGCATACAGAAGAATTATTTTCAATTAATTAAGAATATATTTTTTTAAAATTAGGAAGTTTTCGTATCAAGACAATTACTTTCCATAACTAAAAACTACTGTTGATATCATCTCATTCAATTGATGTTCTATGATGCGTAACGAAGGTTGATATATACCATAAAAGAAAGTCAAACACAAATCAATTTGCATAAACAACAAAAAAAGGAAGTAACAAGGCGGAATCAAAACAACCATCATTGTCAAGAACATCTACAAAAATACAAATTGACTATTTGACTATCATTTGTTTGAACATATAGATTTTTTTTGTCAATCTATAATTATGGATCCACCAAGGGCTGTTTATGATCAACAGAAGAAAAATGCTGAGTTACTTCGACGTCGATTAAAATTTCCAGTTTTACATGGATATAAACTACCACCTAAGGTTGATTTGCGTCGATGGATGACGAAAATTCATGATCAAGGTGATATGGGTAGTTGTGTTGCAAATGCTGTTGCTGGTAAACTAGACACAATAGAGAATTAATCAAATAATTATTTTTTATTACTTTCTTTGAAGGTGCTCTCGAATATCTCTATCGTCGTTATAGCAGACAAGATGTTAATATAAGTCGTTTATTTATTGATTTTAATGCTCGTTTATCTAATATCAATTGGACCACGAATCAAAATTTCTTTATTGATCCAGAAGATCCAGGTGATACATTCGATACAAATAGACAAGCTGCTGTTCGAGGTGTACAACAGTATGGTTTTTGTTCTGAATCATTATGGCCTTATGATAGAAGTTTATATATGCGTGTACCAGCAAAAAAAGCTTACGAAGATGCTGCACGTCGTTCAATTATTCCTCTCAAAGTTCCAATTAATATTACTAGTGTTAAAACTTGTTTAGCTCACGACATACCAGTACTAGTTGGTATTTCAATTAGTACAGATGAAGCCTATCATAATCGTGGCTGGGTACAAATACCTGAAGTACCACCTACGGAAGGTTTACATGCATGTCTCGTTGTTGGCTATGATGATCGTACTCGACATTTTATAATTCGTAATTCTTGGGGTGCCGAGTGGGTATGTATTATACATCTATTGTACTAGAAAAGCTTTTTCTGAAAAAAATTTCTTAAATACAAAATTGAAGTTTATTTTTAGGGTGATAAAGGTTATTGTTATTTACCCTATGAATATTTAATTGACAGACGACTTGTAGCTACTGCTGATTCTTTTTGGGCAATTGCCCAAATTTTACCACGAAAACAAGTGAGAAGAGGATATTTTAGTTATCCGAATTTTACTAGATATCATCAACAACATATGCTACCAGTTACAACTGAATACTATACAGATGGACGTCAAAACTATCCATATCGTCTAAAAAATCAACTGTTGTCATGGCTCAATTTTATACGATAGAATAATGAAAACAATATTTTTTTTTAATTAAGAACAAATGTAATTTTTTTTTCGTAATATGTACATATGAAAACAAATGATGATTTAATATCTGTGAGAATTTAATATAGTTTTTATTAATTAAATTTTAAAAGGTTAATTTTCTCGAACTATTGTAAATACATATTTTGTTAATTAGAAATTCACAATATTTATTATGTTTTGGAAATGATAAAGTAAATGTTTTTTCAAAGGAAAATTTCTCTATGAAAAAAAAATTCACTTTTTCTCCTTGAAGCACGTTTTGTAGGTAAAGAAAACGTAATTTATTTTTGTTAGAATACATTGCTAGTTATTGTCATTTAATTTACTGTTCTTAGAAATATCCTTGAAGATAAGTTAGTACTCGAGTAATGTAAACATCTATTCCGATATGACTTGACAAGCTATAGCGGCGAATAATGTAATTCATTTTGTCGTAGCTTAAACAAGGATACAAATCTTTTCATAAATCGAACTTGTCACTTGTGCGGAAAGATTCTATGTTTATGTAAACACATTTTGCTTCGTTTTTGTTTTCATCAAAATTTTTCTCTCTATCAACAATATATAAAACAACAGATTCATTGATGCATGACAATAATAAACAATCTCAAAACAAAAAAATAGTATAATGTTGATAAAATTACATGTATATATTTCTTTTTTGTATTCATTTAATTACTGATGTATAAAAATATTTGAGTAAAAATTATACAATAGACTCCATTAGTATTTACAATAATACGTCAATAATATATCAATATTATGTCTAGCAATTACAGAATAAAAAACAATATATACTAATTTTTTGAAAAAAATTATATAGTTTAATTAGTTTTATATCAATATTATTTGATAAAATTAACAAATCACTTTTTAAACGCTATCTTCTATAGTTATTTTATTTTCTCTCTTTTCTCTCTCTCACACAATATACACATATTTTAATCAGCACATGTATGCAAAGCCTTTTGCCTAATGATTCGATTATGACGAATGTGAATTTTTATTTTAGATAAAGTAATCTATTGATCTATTTAATTCAACATTATTATTATTTATATATCATTCATTCAATGAAATTAGTGGTATGAAGAATCATCTAATAATTATATTATAAATAATATATATTTTTTATTTTAGAAAAATAATCAGTTGATTTATTTGATTTATTTCGTTTATCCATTCCAACATATTTTGATCATGATGTCTCATATAGTAAATCTGATTAGTCAAGTTATTGAAGTTGCTGTTCATTGCGTTTATGAAGCAAAACCAGTCAATTGATTTCAGTTTCTTCGAATATAATAAATTAAAAACCCACTTAAACTAAAAATAAATACTAAATTATGGTTTTCTTCTTTTATCATTGTATTTAAATGATACAAAACAAAAAACAAAAAGATTAAGATGTTTAACTATTCAAGCAATGCCATGCAATAGAGTTTTTCCTTGTATTATCGATTTTAACAACTTGAAAACTATATTTAAACATTTTTATGAATTTCATGGATATCAATTTACTTGGATTACTACCGATTATAGAACCTGGTATAAAAATCAAGAAGTAACAAAGATTTTTTTACGAACATCTCCTATATTCTTTTGATATTGCTTCTGAAAGAAGCACTAGCAAGATACATTAAAACAACAAAAGATTTTATTGATTACTCTGATACAACTGAAGCACCATCAGCAACAGCGTCAAAATTAACAACACGAGTTAGTTTATACAAGAATCATCAGAATATTAATTATGAATGGACCTATAGAGTTTCAAAATTTTAAATAATTTAAATCTTTAAATTTTTTCAATGGGTGTCCTTTCTTTTTTTGACCATTTTATTGTTATAAGATGATCAGAAAACGAAAGCATTTGAATATTATCAACTATTCGATCAAGTAATATATCAGGTACATACCCAGGACGATGATTCCTGAAGCAGTATTCCCAGAACTTCCGGTTAAAACCCTCAGGAAATTCATAGTTTCTGGCAGGAACCCTGCCGGAAAATGCCCGGAATTTGCTTCTGACATCAATGCCGGACGGAACTGAGCGGATTTGGTCACAGGATCCGATCACCGGAATACTGCTTCCATTTTCCTATGGATTTCCCGTGTTTTCCTACGGAATGCCCAGGAAAATCACGGAATCCGATCGTTTCCTACCGTACGTCTTTGACATGGGTATATTGCAATAAATGGCTTTGGTGAGGGCAATATAAACAATGCTGAACTGAAAAACAACATCAAATCGTCGTTTATAAAGTTTTTTAAAAAAATAGAAAAAATGTAACGTTGATTTTTCATTTTTTTTGTTGAAATAAATGTTCATCATAAGAATAACATACTTTTGAAAGATTTTTAATATATTTTGTCATCAAACTAATTTATCAATGTAGAACGAGTCGATCGAAAATAGGTGACGTTTTAAAATTTTCTCATTTCAAGGATAAACATTCCGAAAGAAACTGCTCTTAGCTATTTAATCAATCATAGACTAGATGATGTTTCATAAGTTTTGGGCTGCTACAAAATTCCTTTATATAAACACAGAACCATGTCTCATGATTATGTTTATATATCATCCTTGAGTGCTCGTGACAGGCTGTCAAATGATATGTAATTGAATAAGATCATCCCTTCTAATATTAAAAATATATTTAATCAATTCAAAAATCATTTCATTATATTTTTAAAGAATAATTATTATATACATAAACACACTGATTTAATATTTAACATCTGTTATAAACAAACATTTGTATTTATTAATACTAAATTTGACATGCGCCTATTGTATATTTTTATAGAATGGACAAAGTGTGATTTGACACTGGAAGGAAAAAGAAAAAGCTCTCTGTATAATAGTTATATAAATAAATAAATAAATATATATATATATATATGTATATATTCAACACAAAGAAATACAGACGTATATGTCAAACAGATATTTAACGTGCATCAGCTTGTCCTCTACTAACAATTGACATTTTTCGTCCCACTGACATTGTTACTGAATGACATGATGGACTAAACATTTGTGAACGATGTGAACTAATCACTTTTCGACATGTTAATATATTAACAAAAGCTCGACGAAAAGCTCGACTAAATATAGTATAAATAATTGGATTTGCACCAGATGAACAATAACCAAGCCATGTTGCAATTGATATAAAAATTGGATGTATATCGTTAATAAAACATGATAAAAGATTAATAACAAAAAATGGTGTCCATAAAATGACAAAGATGGAAAATATAATTAATAAAACACGCATTGCTTTTCGTTCATTACTTGCTGAAGTTTTAGTTAAATTTCGAAATGTTGGATGATGTTTTTTAGCAGGAGATACTGGTTTTGGAGCGTTAATTCCAGCTATAACAGCTTTCATATTATTTGATTGATGAGTAAGACTTGATGACCCTGATGATGAATCTTCAGTATCTAATGAAACCATTTGAAAACTAGCTTGAGACATAAGATCATTAAGACGTGGTGGACGTTTTCGTACACCTTTTTGAGATGATGAACCAATTGACGATGATGTACTTGGTCGATTTGCACGCATAAGACGAGCTGCTAACATAGATGATGTTATTGAACCAACACTACTTCGTTGTAAAGCAGCAAAACTATGCACAGATGCAACATGATCATCTACTAATAAAAGTTGTTGATGTTGAGGACGAGAAATTGAATTTGGATTTGATGTCGGTCCATATAATTGTTCAATACGAGGAAAATAACGTTTAAGATTTGATAATGGAGAATTTTGTAAATATAATTTTTGTCCAGATAACATTGGTGTATTTTCTGTAACATTTACAGCTGATACACAACGTGATCGTACAGCTGCATCATGATCAAGAGCTGTCGATGATGTTGTAACTGTAATCCAATCTTTAATACGTTGACATGTTGTATCAAATTTTGATGGTGATGTAAGACGACGTTTAAGAGGTTCAACATTATAATTAACATTAAGATTTACTGAATTATTACTATTCTTATTTACATTTGCTGGTAAATTCTGTGTACTATCATGTGTAACAAGAAGATTTGGAATATGTACTCCATTATTCATAGTTGTTTTATCATCGTTTGAATCAAATGATGCTAATCGAGTGTCTGCACTATGTCTAAATAAATGTTATATATATATTTTTATGATTAGATTTAAAAAAAAATAACTTACGATCTTGAAAAATATTGTTGATGGATATTCGATAGCATATTTGAATCACCAGTAAAATATGAACTTGGAATAACAATGGGTTGAGTAACGGTTGTTTCTGCAAGTAATTGATCAATTGTTGGTGTATTATTATTATCAAATGAATCGGATGCACCAGGTACAGAAAGTGATAGACGTTTAGCATGTGGTGAATTGTCATTATTCATTGATGCAGATAATTGAGCTGTTAATTTAGCAAGTTCTTCACGAATTTTAGCTGAATCACGACGTATTTGAAGTATTGTATGAGCAGATGAACTTCGTCGTCGTCGATTTTTACGAGCATCATCAACATCAAGTAATGGTGTACAAGAATGAGAGCGTTTTGTTTGTGTATTATTAGCATTATGTGATGAACCAGGATCAAGAAGTTGACTTGATAATGGAGATGATCGTTCAGCTAATATAAATATAAATGCAAAACAATTTTCTTAAAGAACAAAAAAAAAAGAGAATTCTTTTATATATACCAGATTTTTCAGGTAATGGTTGAAGTTGTTTATCTCGTCGTTTATGCCATGTAATTGGTGCTAATGGTTTCAATGTTTCACTAAGACGATAATTAGAAATATATTTTCGTTTTGTTAAATTTTTCTTTTCTAATGAGTATTGTCTAGTTTCCAATAATGATGTAGCACGTTTACGTGGACAATCGACTGGTGTAGATGGTGAAGTTATAGTTTGACTTTTTTGTTCAGGAGATTTTACTGGTGGTGTTGATTCAGTTATACTTTTTTGTCCATCAGTTGTTTCAGTATTAACTGCCCGTTTCCATCTCATAGCCATTGTTGCTAAATTAATAACTGCATGCATCTTTTGTCGTCTTGTATAACGATTTTTTTTTGTTGTATGTGCTTGTTGTAATGCACTCATTGTTAAAGCATATGTAACAATCATAATAACCAATGGAATAAAAAATGCAACAAATGAACCATAAATTTTAAAAGTTCGATGAGATGGAAAACATGCATGTGTTGCTTCATTATATACATTTGTTGGATCGACTAAACCAAGAATGAATAGTGGTAAACAGATACCAAATGATATTAACCTAGACATATAGTTTAATCTTCATTAAAAATATTTTAAAGAATTTCGATACCATATAGTTATTATTTTATATGCCATTAGACTTCTTCGTTTATTTCGTCCATATTTAAGTGGATATCTCAATGTGAGATAACGATCAAGTGACATAACGCTACAAAAAATTAGAACAAAAATTAAAACAAATGAATCAATATTTTTTATATTACCTCATATGCCATATCGATGATGTACTACAACAAACATCGAATGTTAACCAAACATTACAAGCTAATGCATTGAATGGAAAATGTCCGATAAGTTCAATCGTTACCGCTAGAGGCATAACAAGACATGCCACAAGACAATCAGTAAATGCGAGTGATGTTAAAAAATAATTTGTTGTATTTTGTAAATGTCTTTCACGTATAACAGCAATACAAACAAGACTATTACCACATACAGTAAATAAAATAACTGAAAAATAGAGACAAGTTTGAGATTTCATCATACATTTGATATAATTCAAAAAACGTTGTTTTTATGTTTATTGATTAATCTTTGTTTCATGTATTTAGAAACAAAAAAACAGATCTTATGTCTACTTCCGCTATCAGGATATTTATATGTTTAAATACTTGTCATTTATCTTTTTGTATTCTATTTTTGATATTTATTAAAAAAGCGGCATGAGAATCATCTTCTTTTGATGATATTTCTACCTTTAAATATTTTATTGTCTATTCTTTTCTATATCACACTTTTTCTACTACGTTATAATAATGATAAAAAAATATAATTATGATTACGTTTATTTTTTTTCTAATAATTGTAAAATTATTTTTAACTAATGTTAATAACAATATGCATGCAACAAAAATTATTACTAAAAAAAGACTAAAAATAGATACTAACATGTATAGAATCGTTTGAATTAACACTTAAAATCTTTTTCTAGATTAACAAGATTAATGATAACTTACTTGTAATTAATGATAAAGTAGCCCACATTGGTTCGGTATCTTGTGAAATTTGAGAAGTATTATTAAAATCAATATTAAAACGTATTTCATTTCGTGTTCCATTGACCATAGCAGATGATAGCCAATATTTCGTCGTTACTAGCATAGGTTATTTTTTCTTCTACAATAAAACGAATAAGTACATTTGAAAGAGACAATAATATAAACGGATGTGAGCACAGCTCTAGTGTAAAACTTGACTATGTCCGGATGTCCGTGTCAACACCAATCGTTCATTTTGACGAAAGGAAGTGAAAGGATGATGAAGAAAGCAAGCAAAACAAAGAGTGTTTTCCCAATAGTATCAAAAAGGAAAACATTGAAAAAAAACGATGTATTTACATAAGTAAAAACTTTTTTATGTAATAAAAACAATAGTTTCTTTGTATATGATATAAATTTTTAACAGAAAAAAAATTCTTTCTTTTAACTACAATCTAAATATCATTAATTTCATCATTAAAATAGATATTTAAATAAATAATAAGTTTTTTTTTTCTCTAAGAATTATCTATGCTTCATTTACTTAAATATCGAAGTATAAAAACAAAACGTGCGAATGTGCTTTTGTTCAATCTCATAAATTTTTCTATGCATCTTACTAGTTCAATTTACATTTAAGGAAAGCATTGATAATAGTAAAAGTTTCCTGATGGTGTTTCGCCAACGTCAAGGACATTAGCCGCCGGCAGCATATATATCGGAACATCGGCAAATTATCTGCTATCTTCTTCCGTTTACCCTTCTCTCTTTCATTCTAATGGAAAATGAGAGCGTGACAAGCACAACGGGTGATCCTTTCTCATATAGAGACAGAAAGAAAGGGACAACGAACGATGGGGAAGACATACAGGGACAAGAGACAGAGAGAGGGAGAGAGAACAACTTGAAAAATGAGATTTTATCAATGACACTCGCTAACTGAATGAGAACGTTACTAAAAGAGAGAAACATAAGCACTTGCGCGATAATCTCATTTCTGACTCCATCAGCAAGAAACTTACATAGATATGAACGAAGAAAGACAACTAGAATATTATTACGTCGTATCATCATCACCATCAACACTTGGCAATAAAGACCGAAAAAATGCATATATATATATATGCATATATATGTATATATGCGCAATTCTATCAGTCATCTTGCGTAACTAGCCAGCCGTAGCATACGAGAAATCGGACGCCTATGAATCTTAACATCCGATCATATAATAAAGGAAATAAGAGAAGAAGAGGACTACTGATAAATTCACTTATTGAAACTAGTGTCTGTTTGGAGTCGTCGCGTCGCCGCCTGACAATTTATTTCTATGTTTCATTATTGTTTATAATATATACCATAATGCCTAAAGGTCGATGCGAAAGTGACAAATGATAGGCCTTCTATATGTATATAATTCTTAGACATTGATGTCTAGCGATATCGACTTTGAAAAGTAGTATGTCGTGTCTTATTGTTGGTAGCACATGTCAAATGTATAGCCATTATACAAGCTAAAGCACCTAGGCCTGTCAAAATGGCATGGATAGTAATAATAGCAACTAGATTTTGGTGTAGATTATCTTTCATTTTTTCATCACATAATGGTTTTGATTGACTCATATCATTACAAAATTCGATTTCATTAAAGATTTCTTTTGGCTCATTTGTTTCTTTAAAACCACAACATTCTAATTTAACTAAACTAAAATAAAATATAAATATTTATTTGAAAAAAAAAAAAGTTTTTTTTTTCGGATTACTCACAAGTCACGTGCTACTTTAATATTCTTTTCATCTTCGAGTAATTTTGGATTTGATATAAACTGTTCATAATTATTAATGACATTATTAATTAACCACTGTTGTTTTATACAAAATAGAATAAGTATTGTAAGAAGTATGATTGTAATAAAACCAACAAGAATTATATAAATAGATAGAGCTTTAAAGAAGATATACAAGATTAAATATGAATACAATTAACTATATTTACCACATTTTGATCGTTTAACTGAACCAATTAATCCCAAGAGACCAATAAATATAACAAAAAAAGCAAGGATAATAACACCTATTATCAGTTGAATTGAATGATATTTATTATATACATAAAAACTCAATACCATCAAGGCAATACCAAATATGATTAACAGACTGTTAAGCAAGGATAAAAATGTTTTTGAACATGCATGAGCCATTTTATTAATACTTAGAGCAAAAAGCGCCAATTATATATCATTTTCTCTAATGTAGTCTACTTAGCTACAATGTAGAGTCAAATAACAACACAAAAAAAAACGCTCGAAGTTCTTTTTTTCTGATCCTTGACATGAACCCATCGTACTAGACTTATTATAAAAAAAAGCGATATCTAATTTGCATTTGTTTACTATATAGAATTATGACAATGTTTGTATACATCATACCGAAGGACAAATATGTAACTACATCAAGACAAAAAAGAATTGAGCAATTGTTCTAATAGAAAAGTCTGTTGTTAATGAACACTCTTTGTCTTCGGACAAAATCTCGTCATAACACAGTTCTAATTGACAGTACACTTGTCCTGTTCAATGACAGTTCGAGGGTGATGAAAAGTAAAAGAACAAAAGAAAGAGAGAGAGAAAGAGAAAGAGAGACAGGGAAAAACGATCATGAATAACTAAACCATTATAGATAGAGAATAATGATAGCTGTATTACTGAAATCTATCTTGATTATTACTTACAGTACAAGACTATATGAGAGTAGAAAGTGACATTGATAATAATCATGGGAAGAATCATAAATGACATCCAATTTTGTATATATATATTAATTAAGATAATTAATTAGGAATCTTACGATAGGATCTATTTTAACATTTATCAGAATCTAAAATCTACTGTTTTCTCTTAACTGACTCTTTTCAAAAATATCTCTTACTACTAATTGAATTATTCATCATTTTCAAAATAGATTATATCTAAAATAAATAAATAGTTATTTAAAATCATTTAAAAATTTTTTTGTTTCTCATTCTAATCGATTCTGCTTATTCTCGATAGATAAATTCATTCACTATTTAATCTATAGTAGTGATAACTTTTATCGAATAATAGAACTAATCGAAATAAGAGGTCACCAGAGTACAGAAATTTTTCATACTTAATACGATTCAATTTATTATACGTATATATTTTTTTTTCGTAAGAAGAACAAATTATCTTTCAGACATCATTGATGAATCTAATATTAAGACATAACAGAAGTGATAAGACAACGATACTTTTCTCTTTGAACTAATACTCAATATTCGATTAGTAATCTAGGTTTCAATCAGATAGATAAGAAGACAAAAATAAAATACTTTTAATGTTATACTATACTTTTTATTCACCTGACCGAAATAATTGACATATCAAATTGCTAGACATTTTCTATCTTTATTCTAATGAATATGAACGGAACTTAGCCATACTAAATTGACACTCGTATTATCACTGTATAAGCATCAAACTCTTATTGACGTCCGGCGACCAAAGCAGAAAAATGAGAAAAGCCTGAAGCTCATCAACATCGAAGAAAAAGAGCAAGAAAAGGAAAAGAGGAGGAAAACGTAATAGACACGCCACATTAACCAGAGAAAACAGAATAATTCTGATTGTGTGCAATGCTCAAATGCACACGCGAAGGTGAACGAGCATAGGCGGTAGCATATACAGATAGAAGGAATAATATTTGTGCCGGTTACTTTGCCTTCTTTTTTTCATTTTTTTTCTCTCTCTACTATTGATCTTCTAATTCTAAAGCATACATTTATGAAAAAAAAAGATAGACTTACGCATCAAGTTCCCATTTCCTTTCCAACATTTTATTGTTTCATGAGTATATTTATATACAATGTTTTGTACGTAAATAAATCGAATTTTTTGTCTTATTTTGCTTCTATAAATCCTCATTTTGTAATAATGTACATTACTAACTAGAAGTAGTTATCAAAAGAAAAAAGAAAAAAGGATTTTTATATGTACGATACTTGATAATTAGGCGACCGATGAGAAAAAGAAAGAGTGTGTGTTGAAATATTGAGCGATATCTTTGTCCTTATAAAGATAAATATACCTTTGATGACCCATGTTTCTTTCACGCTTCTCGTATAAATTGAAAAAATGATAACCTACTGTTCAATATTATATAACTAATGATCATGAAATAAAAAAAAGAGAAAATATTTATATATATATAGAAAGATAGATGATGATTCTAAGGTCTAAAGTTTATATTTAATGTTAACATACAGACAAAAAGACATGTAGATTGCATGTGATCAAAGCTACTCTTGAGTTTTTTCAAGCATAAAAAACAATAATCTGTTATTTCAATAAGGAGAAAAAAAGCAGAAATTATATTCTTAAAATGTCTTTCAACTACCGGTTGTTATTTCACCACTTATTATAGTATATTATTAAAGCTTTTAATACAGAAAAAAAAACAAACACAAAACGAAAAAACTCACATAGATAAAAAAAAATAAATAAATGTGCCAGTGATCTATTCCTGAGTCACTTTTATGGTGAAAATTATTAAGCGGTGCGTACAAGAGGACCAACAATCGTTCTTCCGGTGAGATTGATTAAAGGTGCATTTACCGGCTGAGCTACAGCAGCAGATTTATAGTAAGCTGGCGTTACATAAGCTGGTGTTCCCACCGGTTGAGAAACTACACTAACTGCACGTCGTACTATAACTGGACCACCATAATATCGAGGCATACGTCTTGCTATATATTGTGAAAGTAAAGATGGTCCTGGTTGGCCAGTGAATTGTTGATATTGATATGGATTTTGCATTATTCCTGGTCTTGCTGCATAAGGCATTCCATATAATTGATTCGCTGGTCCAAGCATTCGTTGACCACCTACCGGTTGTCGAAGTTTACTACGTGTTGCTACATTTCCAAAGCCAAATTGTTGATAAAGATATCCAGCAATAAGAAATAAAATTGCAGCTAAAAATGATAATACAATTGTTGGAATCATAAGCCAAAACCCATAACGTTTATTGTATTGTGCATCACCTCTTGATTTAGAAAAATTAGTTGATTGTGCACCGAATATTGGTATACCGATAATAAGAAAAACAAAACCTGTTAAAGTTAAAATAGCGGCTAAATATGCTAACAAAGGAAGAATAGCAGCAAGTATAGCTGCAATTAGACCAAGAGAAAGAAAAATCATGCCAGTAGTAATAAGACCATCAGCAGTAGTAACAAAACTTGGTTTACTTCCATTAAATAATTCATTTTGAGCAGTTGACCAACGATTACAAACAGTATTAAAAAGTGGTGTTTGATCTTGACAATATGACCAAAGACCAAAGTATTCTTGTGAAGAATAATTATAACGATGAAATGCATGCCAATCTGGTACACCGAAACCAATCCATCCTATTAAAAATAAGTATGTATATATATATATTGTTTTCACTATCAGTATTGTTTTGTACAATCATACCAAGAATAAAAGCAATTAATAGAAGTCCTATACCAACAAGTAATAGAATTTTCCATAGACCAGGCCGAGTTATGAAGGTCGGCATTGCCATCGCCATATCGATCCACACAAATGAAAGCTAATTGTAGTATTTAATTCATATAATATTACGCAGTGTGTTATTGTTTTTTTGTGTACGTTTTTGCGTCTTCACTATTATCGACAGAAAAAAAAAGAAAGAAAACGGTGGTCAGAGTCAACGATACAGCGAATCAAATATTATATTGATGCAAAAACATCACTGAAAGTTCTGACACATAACGTTTACATGTGAAATTAGCCATGCATGTCGAGGAAAGCAAAACATCAAAACAAACATAATATTATTAGAATTAGGCGGTCCCAAGCCAGAGCTTATGATTGTCAATCATTAAAAATACAAATTAATAGTTTATTAGATATGGTTTACAAATGGATATAATCAGTGCAAGAATCAAGAATCTTGACATTTATACAGTTTATTAAATGAGTCGTCGTTCTGCTTTCAGTTAGTTCCTTTTCTTCTCTTTCGATGAAGTACATGATTCGTAGCCTTGGACAGAACGAAAAAGGAAAAACAATGTTTCGTTTCATATAGTAATAAACTATTTGTTGAATAAAAGACAAGAAAGAAAAAATATTGATTGATATTTATTTTTTCTTTTTATAATAAAAAAAAACTTTTCAACAAGTACAGACAGATAATTTCATCTTACTAATAGACATAAATAGCTGAAGTATATTCTCAATGTCAAAATGAAAATATTTCGAGCTATTAACACTTAACAAGGATAGACATTACATTGAGACGAAAGAAATTGCCTTTTCCTCCAATTTCAATGACAATGTGTCTTCTATGATATCATTAAGCAACTAATAATTTTCAATCAATATTTCGAGTTTTTATCTACAATTAACTAATTGAAGATCTATTAAATAACTAATATAGTTATAATCATAATTGACTAGATAAGAGTAAAACATAATAGTTATTGTATTGATGAACTTATAGAAGAAGTCAGATACAATTGTATTTTCTCTTGATTCTTAAAAATCATGAAAATAATAAATATGTTTTAATTGATCATTTTCGAAACCTGTTAATAGTCTATCTTTTCTATATTTATAGTTGTTAATAAATTACAATTACATAAACCGATTTCTTCATATAAAAAAGTGTATTTCTACTTTAAAAGACATCATACATATCAGTATAATCTTTTCTAATGATGATAGATCTATGAATTCAAATAAGAAAGTATTTCAATCATTGTATGTTATTATTTTATTCATAAAAATTTAACAAAAGCTCATTTATTAGATAAATGTACTTAAAAAGGTTATCATGACTTATACTTATATATGTAACGGTAGTGATTAAATTATTCGAAAGGAAAAGGTTGATTATTGTTATTTTTTTCTATCTGAATTTTTCTTTGTATTACAAATTTCTGAAATGTGTACCTATATTTAATCATAATACTTACAATTTTACACATAAAAAATGATCATTTATTATTAATTATGTAATTTGTATGGTTTTCTTTGTGTATCATACAATCGATTCATATTTTCACGTAGAAATAAAATTGTATTGTACAAATACAATCATTATTTTTAGCAGGACAATAATTTTTATTTACAATTTCTTCTGTATGTTTCTCTTTCAATTTTAAGTTGGTAAATTTATAAATTCTGAAGTAATGCTGCATTTCTATCAATGCTTTACCTAGCGGATGTACTGGGACCCACGTGAAAAAAGAAACCTGGATATAACACTGATTCTTATCTTCTATAATTAACATATTCAAATGAAGAAAGACTATTACACAATCATGAATGTTGTTTTTTATAGTTTGAAGATAACTGAATCATAGTTTATCTAAACGTGATGTTGACTGAATCATTTCCTTCTACAAAAAAATACGCCTTTTCGTTTTTTTGCTCGTGATATTTAGCGTCCTCTATAATTCAAGTTGAAATAATTACAGTTTCTATTACAACCAATGAAAAAAATAGGATTGTGTTAGGTGAAATGAAAGATAATGAAACATTCAGCACTATCAATTGACATTCTTATTTTCAACAGGCAATGGATTATCGTCGACCAGCTCGTATTCATCGGTAATTTTTATTATTTTACATTCTTTTTTTAATCTATGAAATTATTAAAGATTTCGACCAGGATTAATTACACAAGTAGATGATGCATTACCTGAATATATGAATTTAATAGGTATGATCTGTTCTATGTGTTCATTAATGCTTAAGGTAAATAACACTAAAAAATCCGATTTTTTCTATAAAAATACTAATGCTTAAAATAAATTCTAGATTAAATGGTGTGCATGGGTTGCATTATTTGCTGGTAAAACTTTTTTGAATAAAATAAATATTTTTTTAAATATATGAATATTTAGCCATTGTCGGTTTTGCCAATTCACGAGCTTCGGAAGATACGAAACAAGTACTTAGCAGTCTTATGTAAGTAATTTACAACATCTAGTTTTGAGAAATTTTTTTTGAAAAGATGATGTACATCTGTCTATGAAAGTCATGTGTATGCGAAATATAATTTGAAAGATTAGAAATCAATCTTAATGGACATTAAGACAACAATTATTCGTTTTTCATAAGACCCCTAAGACGTAACTGAATGTAGTCGTAAATGCTAGTGTAAAATAATCTGATGGGGAAATAGAGATATCGATAGGTGAAGGTAGAAATAATGTATATGTTATAGAGAGAGACAAAAGGTAAAGAAAATCAATCCAGCATTCAGATGTACAGAAAAAGAAATGGATAGTATAGATCATGGCTAATATCAGAGAAAATTTTCTTTGATTGAGTATGGTGTTCGAAAATATTGTCATTCTTTTCAATAATAAATGTCGCAAAGTATTTAATAAAATATCCTGTACCATTAAGAGCAATAAAAACATTTATCTTTCGATATTTCTTAGCTGCGAAAATTTTATTAAAATTCTTTTGAATAAAATATTAAAACAACAATTTTTTTTATATTTCTTTAGGCTTTCAATATCTGCCGTTATTATTACATACATGCAAAACCCTACACCAATGACAATTCCATTTATTCAATAGAATGTTCTTTTCTTTTTTTTTTGTCTTGTTTACTTTTCGAATGAAAAAATATTTAGTAATGTTTTCTTTTTTAATCAGTGTCTGTATCGTAATTAATTGGTTCACCTAGAAAAATAGTTGATGAGAGAATGTTGTATAATGCGTTTTGAAGATCACGTTGCAATATTTCATTTGTTGATCGCAATATATTAACATTTTTTTTTAATAAACGTTGTTCAGAACTTTGTTCGTATTCATTATCATTATTAATCGATTTACTTAATTTTTCAAAACGAATTGATTCTTGTTCAAGTTCATTTCGTAATTGTTGACAATCACTTTCTAATTCTTTAATAACATATTCATATTTTTTTTTCTCTTCTGTTTTACATAGATATTGTCTTAAACCATAAGCCATACCACTTGAATATACTTCTTCATATTCACTCATCCATTGTAAAAATTCATTTCGAATTCTTGCAAGTAAAAGACCACGTTCGCAACATTGAAGTGTAATTATACGAATAAGTTCATCAAATAGATCATTATAAATTCGTCGACGTTTTGGACATAAACCGATTTCAAGTGCTTCTTCTTGATATAACATAACATGAAAACGTTCTTGTAATTGAATAAGATCATGTCGTGTACATGGAGTTTTTGATGGTAGAAATATTTCTTCATCTTGTTGACCCATAGCTAGTTGTTTCTTACGATCAATATCAGCATAGATTGGAAATAGACAAAGAAATGTTAAATCATTGTCTATTTTCGATGAAAATAGATCATTTTTTATTCTTTTATAGATACGATCTGAGACACAAAATGATGTAGGTTGCCAAATGGCATCTATATTATTTGAAGGTAAATTGCATTGTTGACCAAAGATATCATATTCAAGTACAATATCTAGGAAAAGAAAAATACAATAAATTTGTTTTTATGATATGAAAAATGATACCTTCATTTTCTTCGTTGTTTTGTAACGAATAAATGATTGGGGGTAATTTATGATACATATTTCGTAAATGTAGAAGAGTTGCTAATGTTTGCTTTGAGATTTTTGATGATTTCGAATATTTTAATAGACGATTTTTTGGATGATTTTCTGGATGGAGATTCCAATAATATGATTGTTCCATTAATAATATATAATTTTCCGTTTAGTATGTCGTTTAAAATAAGTACTAACAATCAAAAATCATTTCTCTTTTATTCGGCTCAGTTTTTTCTCTCTCTACTTCTTTTTCTTTTATCGAGATTGTACGAGAGACGTTCAATCAAGTTTTTTTCTTCGTTTAAGAACTAATGCATCGTATCAATTTATTATTAATGGGAATTTAAACAGGTGTAAATCTTAAGTTTTTTTCTCTTTTCTTATATCTGTATTAAAATATCGCAAGTTCATAAAATGTTGTATTGTATTAATAATTTTATTTCTAGATGACAAATTCAAATATTAATCAAAATAATGATTCATGTGCTAGACAATTAGAAGAACTTAATAAACTTTTTACCAATCGTTATACTGAAAAAGATGAAGAGTTTATTGAAATGACTAAAGGTTCACAAACTCCACCAACTATGGAAGATTGGGGTCCAGATAGAGTTTCTTATCGACCACAACAATCAGGTAATGGCAACCAACGACGTCATTTTTCAAATCCTCGTCAAGACTATGGGAATCAACGTCAGCAACATCGATATTATTCAAATAATAATCGTCAACAAAATCGATATTCTTCGAATGATAATCGAGAATATCGAGATCGTAGTCGAAGCCCTCCTTATCGTGATACACGTCGATAATAATTAGTTCTTTTTTTGACTTGATGTAATATTTCTTGTGAAAAAATATTGTTGATTAAATAAATATATGATTGTACTATTGTAAATGCATTTTTCTATTATAAAAGTATAACATTATAGGTTCGACAAATTCTGATAGTTTATCAGAAAACAGGCTATTTGTTTTATTATAATAACTATTTGAGTGTTTCTTTAGCTGATTAATATATTCGGCGGTTTTTTGCTATAAAAATAGTGGCACATTAACATAATAGTAGAATGTGTTAATTAATTGTTAGAAAAATTTAACATAAAATTCTGCATTAGTAATATTGTAAACTTTCTATAGAAATGATTAATGATATCATGAAGAGAACTTGTGCCTTATAAAAATCTCTCTATTTTTCAACCTATATTCTCAAATGTAAACTGTTCATCCTAATGTACTGATTAAATAAAAGATTTCAATCATTTATCGTTGTTCAATATAAGAAATGAATTCAAATAAAAATTGCTAGTTTATTTGTTTTGCTGGAATATAATAAATATAAAATAAAAAACAAAAGAAGTCATTTATTGTAAATAATGACGGCTAACAACACCAGGTCGAAGACTAGTACAAAACATAACTGGTGAAATATCTTTATCTCTTTTATAAAGATGTGGTAACCAAAGATTATGTATTTCATCAATTCTATTTTTCCATGCTTCATTAGCTTGATCATTAACTTGTGCACCAATAGTTGTACCAAATTCTCTAAATGCTAATCGTCGATTTAATGGCTCTCGAAAATCTCCTTGTTGCCATAATTCTTCAAGTGCTTGTAATGATTTTGTTGTTATTGTTTTAGCCCATTGTTCATTAGGATACCAATGTGTTATCCATAATGCTTCACCTAAATCAAGTGGATCTGATGAACGATAACGTGAATATTTGACATCAACCATTGATTTCATATCTGCAATTTCTTTTTCTAATTCTCGTTCTTCAGCCATTTCATCAACTAATCGATAAGTTATATATCCATCGTATGGATCAAGATTTCCTTCAGATTGTACAGCTGGATGAGTTAAGTCAATATTCATTTTCCAATACATATGAAGTTGATTATTACGATCACGATAAACAAAATGTGGATGAACTGCTTTGATTAAATCAATAGCCCATCGTACATAACGTTGATCATTTTTTACTTTTGCCATACGACTTAATGCAAATGCCCATTTAGTTAAATAATGAAAATATTCTAAAAATTCATATTATTTATTTTTAAGATATTATTTATTTGCTACTTACGTCCATCGCCATCATGTGAGCCTTCATCATCAATTTTACCAATTCGTAATCCTCCACGAGTTGGATATTCATCTGTTGCTGTTCCTAAACGTTTTTTTCCATTTCGTTCTCGTCCAAGTATATCATGTACATTATTAACAAGTGCATCAGCTTGTTCAAGATATTTAACATCATTTGTTTCACGATATAATGTTAAAAAATTACAAACACCATATGCATCTGTCCATAAATAACGACTTTTATTGTCAGCATAAGCTTTTGGTATCCAATTTCCTTTAACATATGTACCATAAACAGTTTCAACTACTTTTAAAATCTGTTCAAGTACTGACTTTTCCATAATAGGATTTCTACAATAGAAAAAAAAATATGATAATCTAATAGAAATATTAATGAAATATTTTTACTGCATTTAAGAATTTGAGTATCATAAAAGTAAATCAAACAGGAAAAGCATTGTTTTTGTCATTTGCTAAACGAGTAGCCCTAGATAATCGTTTATATATATATATATATTATTACTCCAAAAATGAATCGAAGCAATAATTCGCACTTTTCTATGCAATATAAGACTCGTCCAAATATTTCTTTTAAAGGACATTTCGTTTATACGATGTTATAATCTATCGGTTAAAACTTTGCAGGATGGATTCATTCAATAGCCTGACAACACACCTTCCGATATCACCTAAGAAAGCAAACTGTGATGCTGTTGCTACGAATAATCAAAAACAAAAAGTGACGTTACACAGTCATTGATGCTTGGACAGCCATTGCTTTGTTTGACAGTCACTCAAGGTTGAATTTTTTCTCTCTCAATGACTTATTAGATCTTCTTATTGCGAAGAAACACCGAGATTATTATAAAAATATTTTATTTGTTATATCACCAATGTAGTGAAACTTCTAAAGTTGAATTTTCTAACTAAAGATATTACTTTAGATCGGTTACAATTGTAATCTGACCTTATTATTGATTTTTTTTCGTTAATCTGGATCAAAGATAAGTTAAACAACTAACTTGATATTTTTCGCAATATGAAATATCTTTTAATATCATATTTTATCATAAGCATTCCTAAAACGAACTTATTTGACCTAACTAAAACATTGGTAACGACTATTTTTCTTGCTCGAAACCGATTGGATAGATGAATTGAGCCAACAAGAAAGTGAGTCAATAATTTTTTTTATTATCAGTAATAGATTAGAAAGAAAAAAAAAGTTTGAAATCATATGATTATAAAATGGACAATAATCAATATCGACAAATTACAGGCATAATTGTTGGTTGTGGTAATCGTGGTCAAAACTATGCTCAATATGCTCGTCATTTTCCCGAACGTTTTCGTTTAATTGCTGTTGCTGATCCACGACGAGTTGTACGTGAAAAATTACAGAAACTTTATTCACTTGAAGATAAATATGTTTATAATGATTGGCGTCGATTAGCTGATTCAAATGTTGAACGTCTTGCTGATTGTGCTGTAATTTCATTACCTGATAAAGAACATCATGAAGCAGCAACACAACTAGCTAAAAAAGGTTATCATATTCTATTAGAAAAACCAATGGCAACAAAACCTGAACATTGTAAAGAAATTGTTGAAGTTTGTAAAAGTAATAATGTATTCCTAGCTGTTTGTCATGTTTTACGATATTTACCAATTGTGAAAAAAATTAAAGAATTAATAGATAATAATACTATTGGTAAAGTTATTTCAATACAACATATTGAACCTGTTGGTAAGAAAAAAATTCATTTCATTATATTAATCTTTGAAATATATATGATTTCATTATCTATAAAGGTTTTTGGCATTTTGCTCATTCATTTGTACGTGGTAATTGGCATAATGAAAATGATAGTTGCTTTTCATTATTAGCAAAATGTTGTCATGATCTTGATTTAATTCAATATTGGATGCAACCACGTCAATGTACAAATATTTCAAGTTTTGGAAAATTAATGCATTTTACCCCTGAAAATAAACCAAAAGGGGCTAGTGATCGATGTTTGACTTGCTCAGTAGAATCAACATGTCCGTATTCGGCAAAAAAAATTTATTTAGAAAAACCGAATCGTGGATGGCCAGTAGCAGTTGTTGTACCCGATATTGAAGAACATGAAAGTTGGGATGATATTAAAGTTAAAGTTAAAAATGCATTAGAAACTGGTCCATACGGAAAATGTGTTTATGGTGATTGTAATAATGATGTTGTAGATCAACAAGTGGTTATATTAAATTTTGATGATGGTAAAGAACGATGTTTTAGATAGTACAAATTAAATATCTATATTTGCATTTAGCTATGACTCTAAACAGAATCATTTAAAGGAAAATAACTAGAGATAGCTTTATATTGACTTTCCTTCTCAGATAGACCAATAAAAAACTAAAAGCTTTATCAAGTATACAAAATCTATTAGATCTGCTATCATAATACGTTCATGTCACTGAGTACATTACTTAGATAATTTGGATGATGAGTTTTCTTTCTAATTATAGTCTATTAATTTCTCTCTCTATTATTATAGGAGCAACAGCAACTATGCAAATGGTTGCATTTACTGAACAAATATGTCAACGTACAGCACGTATATTTGGTAGTCATGGTGAATTAACATGGACAGGCGAAGATACCTTAGTTCATTATGATTTTCTTACACAAAAACGTAAATTATATGATGAAACTGATCTTTCCATTGCTGGTATTATGAGTGGTCACGGTGGTGCAGATTTTTTTGCTATGGATTCATTTGTACGTGCAGTATCTTTGAATAAGCCTGAATTAATTGGAACAGGACCTCAAGATTCCTTAAATAGTCATTTAATAGCTTTTGCTGCTGAAACAGCTCGAAAAGAAAATCGTGTTTGCAACATGAGTGAATTTTTATAAGGAAATATAATTTCTTTCGCTTTTTATTCGACTAAACAATTATTTTTTATTCATGATTTTTTATAAATTCGCTTAAATTCGATGTACTAGAAAAACATTGAAATTGTTCGAGATCAATTGTCGATGAAATATTCGATGGTATCGTCACATCAAGATTTGATATTGATGAATGATGTGATATTTTTTGTTCATTTTGATTTCGATCAGTTTCCATTGTTTGACTATCAATACTTATTAAATCAGATTTAATTTGATTATTTCTTAAATATAAATAAAGTAAAAATTTCATGTTATCATTTATTATTACTTTTCATTTCGAAAATTTTCTCCGATTGAATTAGTTTTCAATTCTTCTATTGCATGTCGTACATTTGAACATTGATCACCAAATGATAATGAATCAACATGTTCACATGTTACAATATTAATTGATGATTTAATTCGATCTGAATTAATATCTTCATTTATTGGTACTTTCCATTGAATACCATATTTTATTGGCGTAGAAGAAATTGTATCATTATCGATAACATTAATTATAGTTCGATCTTCGTTAATAACTGTTCTTGATGGTGAAGTTATTGAAATAGATTGACTTACAAAAAAATGAGAAAAGTTTATAATTCAAAATTGTTCATATGATGATCAATTTTCTAAATTAATTGCTACTTTATCAAAAAATATAAATCATGTCAATTATAGACAATATCATCAATAGTAAATTTTCAAGAGAACGAAAAAGTCATGTTCTCCATCATATAATTAAGGAGTACTTCAAAAAAATTGTTCACATATTTTTTTATTTTGTTCTGCTTCTGATTCAATTTCAAACAAAATCAATGATGTTCTAGTATTAGTTTTTTTTGTTTGCCAAAAACACGCACACTGACCACCTTTTTTTTCCTATGAATTCTTATATAGATAAATTCTCACTTGAATTTTTGTAAAGATAAAACTGATAGTATTTGATTATTTTCTTGTTGTAACTGATCATTATGAATAGATGTTATATCATTTTGTTTATTTCTAATATGAATAATTGCCAATGTAATAGCACTTACAAAAGCAATTGCTATTGAAAGACCTCCGATAAGTTCAACTATAACCATTGAATATCGTTATAAAAATATTTGTAAAAATGATTTCATTCATTGTATAATAAAATAATATATATAAACATAACTTATTTTTAAATCTTTTTTTTTCTTTTCTATTATCTATATTTAACAAAGATTATTCATTATCATTGTTGCCTAAGCAATATCACCTTTCAAATAAAAATGAAACGAAATAAAATAGCCAATATGAACATATGGTCATGGTTCATCGAGTTGCTCGTTCAAGTGTTCTATAAGTTCAATTGCTTCTCTTTTTCATCTGTATTTGCCATACATACATACATATATGTGTGTATATATATATATATGTACTAAATAATTTCTCAAACGATAAACGAACAATTTTCAACTAGTGACACATACAGGTGAATAAGAAAACCAATACAACCTTATTAATTATTATTATTTGTTTACTCATTCTATCAATCAAGAACGATCACGATGAATGAAACAGTTGACAGTGTTTATCGGTTCGTTACTGATCAATCATCAACAGCATATAGTAAAATGAATTCATTTGTTTCATCACTTCGTCGTCGTTTTGATAAGGTACTTACAGTTGCTGCTACTTCTTCTAATAATACATCTTCAACAAATCCTTCATCAACAAATGACGGTGAGATTTTATTGCTTAAAGAAGCTATAACAGATGCTTATCTTATGCTTGCTATGACAAATAATGATAATAACGAATTAAAAGATTGTTTGCATGTTGCTGAAATTTTTCAACAACAATCATGTTCACCCGCTACTGCACGTCGTTTAATTAATGAAATACGTTCGTTTATATCTTTATCTAATTCAGATGACTATTATTTAACAAATAAAAAAACAGATCAAACCAAAAGATCAGACAAACATCTCAATGTATATGATACATTGAACAAACATCGTCCATTAACACGATCAAATCCGAATGTACACAATACCAATAAAAGCGAGGCGGGTAAGCCCGTTAATATGCAAAGACATTCGCTTCGTAGCTCTATGCGTAATTTACTAAAACGTCGTTCAATAAAAGTTCCATCTAAAAAAATTCTAGGCCCACCATCCAATGATCTTCAAACTCCACATATATACGAAACACTCGATACACCATCACCGGAAAAAACATCACCAATTGATTCATCATCAGCACTCGAACTACCATATACATCATCATCATCATCACCAATAATAAAATCATCCTATTTAATTCCATCATCAATTGTTGTTCTTGATCATTTTACAACAAATCTTTATCTTGTTGTTAATTCAACCTTAAATCAATTATTTGTTGTATTTGGTTCAACAAAAATTCATACTATTAAATTATATGATACAAACGGACGAAAAATTCATTCAAATGATCTTATCTTACAATATAAATTTGAAGATTTACATGGTTATAAATTATTATCATCAGCATTAAATAATAATTCAGAAAATCGTTTAATTGTTAATGAAATACGTGTTTATGTTACTGAATCATTAGACGAATCATCAACAAATCAAACACTTAAACAACGTTTATTATTTTTTGATCAAACTGGTCAATTTATGTCAGCATCAAAACGTTTACCTATAACAAATGAATTATTATTTGTTGAAGTTGATCGTTCAACACCATCTATATATGCATATGATGGATTAAATTTAATAAATTTAGAACGTAATTGGTCAACAAATGTTGAAAATATTGATTGTATATCATCAGGTTCAACATTTCTTGTTTGTTTACATACAAAAACAAATCAAATAAGTATATATAATAATCAAACTGGTTCATTTATTTATCGTTGGTTAATAACAACACAAAATATTCATCATTTACAAACAGTTTATTTATGTGTATCACGTCATGATTTAATTTATGTTTTAGTTTGGAATTGTGATGTACATCCAGTTAATAATCTTGTTCTTGTTTTTGATCAAGAAGGACAATTACGTCGAGAATATTATATACCAAATCGTATTACACCAAATATGCATGGATCATATGCATATGATATGACACTTGGTGGACATCAATCAAGTAATCCATTTGCTAATGTAATTCGTCGTCCATCAACAAAACCAAATCCACAAGCAATGGCATGGATGCAACAACAAGCTATGTGGAATGCTGGTGGTAGACAGCATCCACATTTATGGCCAAATACTCTTGGACCAAGATCACCCATGCAACCAATTTATCAAGGTATGGGTAGACATTATGAAATGTATCATCATCAACAACAACAACAACAACACCATGATGATAATACATTATTTCATGCAAGATTTATTGCTATTACTGATGATGATACATTAATTCTATCAAATATTATTGATCTTGGTTTAGATGAAGAAACACAAGAAACAGCTGTTGTTAATGTTAGTCGAAAGATTTTATTTTTTCATATTGATACGTAATTTAATGTACATGTTTTTATATTAATATATGTCTAAATGAAGAAAGAAAAATTAATTGTTCATTTTTCTTTTCTCATAAATACTTCCTATTCTTTTATCTAAACAAAAAAAAAATAATAATAACTTTTTATATTTTATACGTTTATTTTAAACAAGACAATAGATGCATAGTATATCAAACATTGAAAAGAAATGTATTTCGTAAGAAGTTTTTTTCAAAATTATAACAAAGATTTAGATAATAATTTCTATTGTTTTGAAAAAACATGATCGAAAATAATCATCGATCTCCATAGATGTATAGACACATAATAATAGGTCTTCACAAACTGTATGAAACAAGTCAAGAATACATTTTCTTATCAGTTGCAATACAAGCAAGTAGATCGATCATTTTTTTATATTTTAATCCCATATGAATTGTGCTAACAGATTTTGTTTTTATAACAAGATTAATTCTTAATCACATCTCTCATTTTCAAAGAAATATTTCTAGTTGTTTGTGATTGTTATAGACAGTTATAATTCAAAAGACATCAATATTGTCGCTAAAAATGAGAAATATATTTTTATAGAACTTGACTACGAATCTTCATGATTAAATTATAGAACAGTCATTGAAACTCACTGATTTTACTATAATGTTTATGATTGTTACGAATATTACTGTCACGATTTTTTTTATTGCATTCGCATATTTTAATACGAAAACATCAAAAGAATCTATCTAATCTCGATTGTGTGAACGACTAAAAATATTATTCCGATTATTGTCACATATTCACCTAATTTCTTTTATTTGTCATCACATCATAGTTCAAAAACATTTCTTTTCTCACTTTTCTATAACACTTTATATGATCATAAAAATAATTGTATGTGTATTGAACACAAGCATCTTTCATTGTGAAAGATTGTCATTCTTTTTTTTAATTTCAAACTAATCAATTTAATTCATTATTAAAAAATAACCTTGTATTTGTTCACAAACAAAAACCATATATCGATGATGGACACACATTGTGATCACATTTCCACATGATCAACTATTTAATCTCACACAATGTTAGGAATGTCTTCAATGCACACCTAATATGCTCATTGTTAAAGGCTATAAAGTTATAATATTCATGTTTATATGATGGTAAAATGAGCCATGTTTTGGTCACAGATGGGTGTTATTCGTTCCGAAGGACATTAAAAGGCTATCTGACACCTTTTCATTCTTGACACCTTTCTTCTGGTTGATCGTCGCTGAGCACATTTTTATTTTTATGTTTAATGTTTATAGTCAAGAGAGAAGGACAAAGACAGAGAGAGAGAGAGGGAGGGAGAAAAATTTAAGAGTAACAAAATTCTTTGATTGAATATATTTATCAATCAATCACTCACTCACTAGAAGAAAAAGACAAAATCAATATTTTTGATTTAAAAAGAGAGTGCATATGACATACACACATCAAATCAATAAGATGTCATCATTGATTATCATATTCTCATTTATTATTACTGTACAAGCTAAAACATTACCAAGTGATTTTATGTAAATATTAACTAATCAAAATATTCTTCTATTAATTATTTGTTTCTTCTAAAAGGCTATTAGGTTTAACACCAACTACTCAATTAATCGATGGTTTAACATGTGAATCTTATCGTCCATTTCTGGGACAAAATACAGAAATATTATGTTCAAAAATTCCTCAATTACATAAAATTCTCTATGAATCAAATATACAAACTCATACACAATGTCAATATCATTTTCGTGATCATCCATGGGGTTGTCGATTAAGTTCAAAAATAACTCCATTGCGAAGATTTTTACGACAATGTAAGTTATTTTTTTATTTTTTATTAATAAAATATATTTGTCTGTTTTTTTGTTTCGTAGCATCAAAAGAAGCTTCATTTTATACAACATTAGCAAGTGCAACCTTAACATTAAATTTAGTAAATGCTTGTATTAAAGGTCAAATTAATGATACTCATTGTTTATGTTCAAATCAACGACAATTATGTGAAACAGATCCAAATATAGCATTTCAATTCGCATCATTAATCACTGATGGTTTCAATATGTCAAAAAATTTTCAACAAAAATTCTTATTTCAACTTAATCAAGCAAATAAAGAACTTGGACGAAAGGTAAATGACATGATATATGGACATAAAAAAAGAACTAAACCATACCTTTATATTTGATATAGATTGTTAAAAATATGATGCATAAAGACTGTCGATGTCATGGCGTTAGTGGTTCATGTGAACTACAAATATGTCGATTACGTCCAGCTACATTGATGGATATTAGTTATGAAATATATTTTAATACATATAAAAATGCTCATTATATAGAATCAATTGAATATATTAAATCGGAAGAAAAAAATCAACTATTTTATGCACGGAAATCAATAAATTATTGTCGTTCAAATTCATTTATTGATTATCAAGGTGTACAACAAGGTCGAGAATGTTTTAGTAATGAAGGATGTGAACAAGTTTGTTGTAATAGAGGATATAAAATTCATACTGAAATGAAATTAATTGATAATTGTCATTGTTTTTTTTCATGGAATATTGTTAATATTCAATGTCAACCATGTGAAAAGAAAATAACACGAATGATTTGTATATAATTTTGTTTATTTTTATGTAAATAATAATAATGATTATTAGATGACTTGATTTTTTTTTCTTTTAGAAATAAATATCTAATATTTGTGAATTAATATTTATCCGATCAGATAGAAAATGTTTCATTTAATAGATAATTTTATATATTAAAATGTTAATTTTTTTATAAATAGTTAGTTATGTGATCAGTTTGTAATTTATTTCATTCCTTTAAAATGTGTTATTAAAGGTTATTTGAATAAAAATCAGTGCAATATTCTTTTAGTCTTCTGAAATACAGATGAATAGAGAAGAATTGAAGCATCTAATGATGTTTAATGAATAAAATCGTTCTACCTGCAGTTCCGTTTTGGAGTTAATTGTTATTCGATCATATCTACTGTAGCTTAATAATCATCGAGATTTTTAAGAATCTTTTTTTTCTTCTCCCGATGATATTTAATCATTAAAATATGTTTGTAATACATCATAATAATCAGCCAATATTTACATTATGATTATCCCAGATTATAAACTAATATTCATAAGTCTTAAACATGTTTATATACTTCATTTAGCTTTTTTCTTCTCTAATATCTTTTATCTTTTAGATATGAATTGCATAGGATTAGGATATAAATATCTATTAATATTCAATGAAGCATTGAATCATTTAAAAAAATATATTATTAATTTATTAATTACAGTATCATGAAGAAAAAAATTTCTATTATAATCAAATAATTATTTCTTAATAAATCAAACCTCAGGTTTTTTCCTTTTTTTTCTATAGAACAGGAAAGAAAACATTAGTATAGATTCAATTCAACTAAACTAAATAGAAAAGAAAAAAAAGAAAAACTTTATTTGTTAAACTAATGAACAATCTAGATGCAATCATCTTCAGGCTATAAATGCAATCAAACCCATATCCATAATCAATTTATTTGGTGTTTTCAATCATTGTTCAAATAACAATTCAATGCCCGTTAGACAAATACTTATTTTACAATAGAAAGAAAATCATCTCTTTATTCTATTTTTCTTTCTTTTCATCATGTCATATATATATATATATATCTATATATATCATTATTTTGTTAGAAATGTCGTTCAATAGAGAACAAAACAAATTTCTTCTAGATCATTTTAATTTGAAAACTTCGTATTTCTACTTATTGAATAGATCTTTCGGAAATACTTAACATGCTTTATATAAACATCAAAAATTTTCTTTAAAATGAATAAAAAAAAGCAAAACAAAAGATTCTTGTTGACCATGATTTGAAATACATACTCTTATCTGTCCTCTTCTCATCTGAAAAGTTTTCCGTTTTATGGTTTTTTATTTATTTCTAGTAATCATTGATAGTAATTTTGATGAAAATTTTGTAGTTAGCTTTTTTTATCTGCATATATTTCCTTTGAATCCGTTCATTTAATATCCAATTTCCATAATTAATAAGCTTGTTGAAAATGAGAGAGAGAGAGAAAACAACGAATAATATCCTTCACTTTTCATTGAAGAACTTTCTTTTTTTTTTTATTATTATTAATATACGAGCATATAATTAAAAACTTGTTGTTTTCTTTTCTTAAAAAAACAATTTGTGAAAAAGGATTTTATTATTTAACAAAAGACAAAAAAAAATAGATAGGACCTAGGATTGAAATGAATTATAGGTTTGATGTTAAAAGAAAAAGATTGCATCTGTTTGATAGCGATTACTAACTACTGTATGATCGGTAAATTACACACTAACAACAGAGGCGGCATTGATTATGGCGGTAATGCAAGCATGATTAGTAAGGATGAGTTACTCAAGTATCTCATTTGCTTACCAATAACAGAACACAGATAAAAGTAAAGAGATCGTATTATACTTGGTGAATTTTCTCACTTTCTTCTTTTCTCATTCTTTTTCTAGAGTTTGTGTTTGGTCTTCTTTTTCTTATTCTACGCTTTTCTTATGTGTCTACGTGCGCGACCAAGCGAGCGTGATTGTTGTGTTCAAGCTTAACAACGACAGCCGAGAAAGAAAAAGAGGAAGAGATGAGAGAGAAAGAGACAGAGTGCTAAGGAAGAGAGAGAGAAAGCGAGAGGGAGAGAGAGAAGGTTGATCGCCGTCTCTTATTATCATCATTGTCGCGCGTTTGACTGTCTCTTGCATCAAGAAGTTTACTCAATTCTTTTTTCTTGACAGGCCAATATGTATCTTATCGTAAATGCTCGAACGATTTTTTATCGAAGATTTTCTTAATAGGCTCATTTAAGTTAATAAGTGAATTTTTACGATAGACCACAGGAGAGCGAACGAGAGAGCCAGATACAAGAGCATATGTGTGAGTATATATGTGTACGCGAGTTTTCAATCGTCGATGCTCGTCGTGTCATTGTCACGTATAACATTGTTGTTATCAGTCATCCTTATATTGATTACATTTCTAATTGACAATGGCAATTGTGATCAGGATGAACATAGTCGAACATATATTAAACATTATTATCCACCAGAATTTCGTGCATCACATAGTCCGCCTTATGATTATATCTCTATACCAGGTAGATAAATACAAATTACACTTTTGTTTCTTTAAAAAGTTAATTTAATCATAGGTGATATTATACTTGGTGGATTTTTTCCAATTCATCAACCACCATCAAATGAATATGGTTCTAATCAATGTGCAGTAATTAAACGTGAACGTGGTGTACAACGTCTTGAAGCAATGTTATTTGCCTTAGATGTTGTTAACAATCGATCATCGTATTTAATGTCTTCTATACTTAAAAAATATAATATACGTTTCGGCGCCTTGATATATGATTCTTGTGATTATGAATCTTATGCAGTCGAACGTGCGCTTAATATGTTATTACCATCACTCGATCATTGTATGCCATTACAAAAACAAAAACAAAATCAATCATCATCATCATTTGTTGCTGGTGTTATTGGCAGTGCATCAAGTACTGTTTCAATGGCAATTGCAGATATTCTTCGTTTAGCTGAGGTATTTTTTTTAGTACAAAAAAATATTTTCTTTTATATCGAATTACTATAAGAAACGGATCTTGACAAAAAAAAGGAAACTTTTTGCTGAAATAATCTGGTGTAAAATAAAACGTGACAACTCAGTTTGAATTAATCATAAAAACGACACGTTCGTCGTTGTAAAAATCTTCCCACGTATATAAATTGGGATAGAAATATTTTGTCTGCTTTGTTTACATTTTGATTGATAAAAATACGTTTTATATTCTATAAATAGATTCCACAAATATCTTACGCATCAACAAGTACAGATTTAAGTCAAAAACCACGTTTTCAATATTTTTCTCGTGTTGTTCCACCCGATACATATCAAGCTGAAGCAGTTAGTAATTGTAGAAATAGTTGAATTCCTGACTTTTTCTCTCATTTATTCTTTTCTATACACTCTCTAGGTGGTTAGTATTATTCAATTTCTCAATTGGACGTATGTTGCAGTTATTAAAGAAACGGGTTCCTATGGTGAACGTCTAACCGATGATTTTAAAGCAAAACTTAAAAATAAAAGTAGATTTTATTTAATATCTAGAAGAAAACTAATATTATTTTTCTTTTAAAGCAATTTGTATTGCCGGTGAATTATCAGTTAATATCAAAGATTTCAATTCTTATGCACGTGTTATAAAAGAATTGTATGAGGATGAAAAATATCGTTTCGTTGTTGGTGTTGTTGTTTTTGCACAAGAAGATTCCATTAGGTAATATAGAAAGAAAAAAAATATTTATATTGAATCTATCTATCTATATAGACAAATACTTAATCAGACATCATCTCTTGATCAATTTAAAGGTCGATGGATTTTTCTTGGTACAGATGGATGGGGGAAAAAAAGGTATCCAGTCACAATCGAAAGTTTTGGACGTGCTGCTATTAATGCAATAACAATAGCACCGAAATTATATTTAATTCCAGGTTGGAAAAATAGTTTTTTTTCATATGACATGAAAAATTTCTGTTGTTTTTTTTTCTCGCTGTAGAATTTGATGATTATTTTACAAATTTAACACCATCAAAAAATACTCGAAATCCATGGTTTAAAGAATATTGGGAAGAAACATATAAATGTAAATTTATAGAAACACCAGACACAATTTTTAATCGAAATTTTACACGTGCATGTACAGGTTTGTTTATCGAGATTTTTTATTTGAAAAAATGAACAAATTTTTTAATATATAGATTTTGATCATATTAATACGACTTTATCTGTATCATATTTTCAAGAAGGTTATGTACATTATGTTGTTGATGCAGTCTTTACACTTGTAACTGCTATACAACGATTAATCGAAGAAAAATGTCTAGATCCTTCAGTATATAAACCATTATGTAGAGAATTTTTTCCTTTCGATGGAACGAAATTACTTACAGTTTTACGAAATACTACTTTTCGTAATGGTAAGCTATGAAATTTTTCTTTTCTTTTACAAATTCTCATGACAATACATTTTAGAATTATCAAAACGTATTATTAAATTCACAACAGATGGTGATGGTATCGGAACTTATGATATATTTCAATATCAAATTATAAATTCGAGTGATAGACTTGATTATGTTACTATTGGTGAATTCACTGATAGTGATCAAAGTCATGAAAGGTAGAGTATATTCATAGCATGACAATCTTATCATTAATTAATAACTGATTGTAAACATTCTATTAAAAGATATTATTCAGTCTAAATTCTCTATAGAATATTTCTTCCATTCACAAAAAGAAAAAAAAATATTATCGTTGAAGAAAAGCTCATCATTGATGTCGTATGATTGAGAACATGCAATCATAAATAACATAGTATATAGTTATAATTAGTGAAAAAAAGGATTATTTAGGTTTATGTCTATATAAATAATAAGCAATCTCTAAGCTTTTGTTTTATAAACGATTATTTAGAAAGAAACAAAAGTTAATTATACTCTTAAGAAAATAATACAAACAAACGTTTTTGTTTGTTGCTTTGTTGTTTTAAAAGAGTTTTTTTCAAATCTATCTAGTTCGTTACATTGAATGAATTATTTTCTCTTTAATATTCTTAATGGATATTATCTTGACAAAAATGTTCCATTAACTTACTAAACTTATTCACATTGCATGTTAATATTTGAATCTAATAAAAATTTGTTCTTTATCTCGGAATAAATGTGATTATATCTGCAAATTAGATATTTATAGAAATGTGCTTTATCCACCTTCATGCAAAGCTAATTGATATTCATTGAAGCAAATAAAAACCGATCTATTTAGACATAAGAAAGAAAAATATTTATTTATTTCTATTTAGACTTCGTATTAATCTTCAATCAGTAAAATGGGTTAAATATAATCGTGAAATAACACATTGGTCTGAAACATCACTAGTTCCTCGATCATTTTGTAGTGAATCTTGTCCGCCAGGTGAAATACGTACAAATATTGATTCACAACAATGTTGTTGGACATGTCGTACTTGTGAATTATTTCATATAACTATTAATGAAACAGCTTGTTCACCATGTTCAGAAAAAGAAGTACCAAACTCGGATTTTACTAAATGTATAGCTGTTGCAGGAGAATATTTATCTGCACATAATATTATAGCATGGCCAGCATTAATACTTTCATCAATCGGACTTTTAATGGCAATTTATACTATTGTTATTTTTATACGTTTTGCTCAAACACCAGTTATTAAAGCATCATCTCGTGAATTAAGTTATTTTCTTTTATCTGGTATATGCTGTTGTCATTTATGTGCATGGCCACTTATTCTCAAACCACATGTATTAACATGTCTATTTATCCGTATTGGTGTTGGATTAAGTTTAACAATATGTTTAGCTGCACTTTTAACAAAAACAAATCGTTTAGCGCGAATATTTAATAATAGTCAACGTTTAACACAACCATCATGTCTTTCACCACGTTCACAATTAGGTATATGTGGTGGAATTGTTAGTATACAATTAATCGGTGTTCTCCTATGGATAATTATATCACCACCGGCAACAAAATTAAAATCGGAATTAAAACATAATCAAAAACGTTTAATATTAGTTTGTCAAACAGATAATGAATATATAGCTTGTTCACTTGTTTATAATATGATACTTGGTATATCATGTACATTATATGCAATTAAAACACGACATATTCCTGAAAATTTTAATGAAGCAAAACATATTGGATTTGCAATGTATTCGGTTTGTATTATTTGGTTAGCATTTATAGCTATATTTTTCGGTCTTCGAACTAGTGAAAATTGGTTTCGTGTAAGTTTTTTGATAATTAAATATTCTTTGTTTTTGAAATTCTTCTTTTTAGATTCAATTAGTTACTCTCGCTATTTGTCTTAGTTTATCAGCTACTGTCATACTTTTATGTTTATTTGCACCTAAATTATATATTGTTTTGTTTAATCCGTCCAAAAATATACATGTGAAATTTAAAACAACATTAACAACTCCACAACAATCAGTTGAACGACCAAGTACAAGTAATAATCAAGATGAATCAATAGGAACTGCTAATAATCGACGTCGACGACATGCATCATCTGATTATGCAACGGACATAACATTATTTAATTCAAAAACTGACAGTTTGGCTTTGAATATAAATGATGAAACAACTCAAACAGGTAGTATTAGTGGTGGAAGTTCATTATTTAATGGTGCATGTACCGATGCTGAACGACAAAAACATCAACTTACATCTACACAAGATGATGAAACAACTGATCTTTTAACAACATCTAAACAACAAACAAATTCACTTAATCCTCCAAATTTTCCCATTAGACCAGCATCATCGAATTTAGTAATTGCAACTGAAAATCCATGGAAAAAATTAAGTAATGTTCGATATAAACTTGATGCACATGATCCTAATCAAAGTAATTCAACACAATATAATCATGTTCATGCACAGCATATCACTTTTGTTTAAGAACCTAATTAATTTCTTTTTTGCTGTTTTTGTTCTTATATTAGATGTTTTTATTTTGTCATTAAAAGAATAAAAAGAATATTTCATTCATTTAACATAAATTCAATCAAAATCTAGTATTTTCGTATTGTAAAATGTAGATAGGACATTCTTAATTATAGTGTCTAGCGACGTTCTCTTTTTTTGTCTATTGCTGATTTGCATCAAACATAACGAAACATATAATTGAGCATTACTTGAAGGTTATGGACGAGTCTGTCATTTAGTCTCTGTAATTTTGAATAGACAACGATAAGTAATTTAGACTGAATAACTGGCGACTATTTTTAAGAAATTCATTTCTATTGTTGAGAAAAACTCAATATGTACTAGACCATACCCACAGATTCTCGAAAATTTGTAATGATATACTGGATACTTTGTCAAGAGAAAGATCAACATCATTCACAGTTAATTGCAAGAGAACTGTTACAATATGTACCTATGAATATAGACAGTTTCTTTCTCAAATTACTATTGATTATGCATTACGTTAATATATCTAGTTTCAATGTTATTTTGGATATGTGCGTTTTAACAAATCTATACTTTTCGATATATAGCGACATCTATCTACGAATTATGTAAATTCAAAAACGAGAATCCATTGCGGAATAGCAACTGATAGAACTCCATTGTTTGTTTTTTTTAACAAAAAAAAGAACTGATAGGCTCGTTTTTTTCTCAATTAATTTATCTTGCTGTAATATAATTGGAGAATAGTATTCACACTTGATTTGTTTTGCTGAATTTTATTTGTCAATTGTGAATGCCCGAAAGTCTTGCTCGTAAACGCTTGACTGGTATTGCTAAAAACGTTGCCACGTGTTCAACTCAGGTAATATACAAAATATTAAAATTATATATATATCTATAATAATATTCATTTTATTCTCTATAAAGGCTACAACGTACGCTGCGTGTGTAATTAATCATAGTGATTTAAAAAAAGACTCGTGTTTAAAAGAATTTCTTGCTCTTAAAGATTGTGTACAAAAAGCAGTAGGATAAAAACTCTTTTAATCATTCCTTTTTCTTATTTCTTTATATTAGGCATTAAAAAATGGTTAAATTTTTTAATACGATTTTGTTTTGTTTCACATTGGTAATGTTTATTAATGCATCTCAAGATTCGATTGCTAATAATCCTACCAATGAAAATGTAGGTTCATATAAAATTGAAGGTAAAATTACTGTACCACCTGGTGATAATGCACTTGAAAATACAAGAATCTTAATTGACGAAGGTGTTTATGTTGGTGTTCCTCAAGTTGATGGAACATTCGTTATATGTGGTATAATTTTTTTATCATATCTATTTTTCTTTTTAAAAATAAAATTGAATTAAATCTTTAGGAGTTCCAAGTGGTTCGTACATTGTTTCTGTTGTTTCACCTCTTCATGTATTTGAACCTGTTCGTGTTGATATCAATGCTAAAGGTAAAATTCGTGCACGTAAAGTTAATTTTATTCAACCAGGAGAAGTTGTTACAATGAAATATCCATTAAATTTTGAAACACATGGTATACCAAATTATTTTCAAAAACGGGAAGTTTATCGATTAACAGATGTTATTATGAATCCAATGTTTTTAACATTACTTGTTCCATTAGCATTATTATTAATTTTACCTAAAATTGCTTCACAAGATCCTGAAATGCAACGTGATTTTCAACAAGCTAGTAATTTTCTTCAACCAAATATCAATACACCAGAAATTGGTGAAATGTTTGCCAATATATTTGGTGGACCTAAAAAACAAAAACCAACACAACAACAAATTCAAAGTAATGCTGCAAATAGTGGATCAGTAACAGCACAACAAAAACGAAGAAATGAAGCAATTAATAAACGAAGAAATTAATGGATTTGTGTTCTTTTTTTTTTGTTCTCTGCTTTTGTATAACTTTTCTTTCGTTTTTCTTTTCTTATTTCGAATAAAAAAAATTTCAAACAAATTTTTTTATTGTTTTGCTTTTTGCTATGAAATTATTCGACATAAACCGTATTCACTTAGTAATAATGCCATATCATTATCAATATATATTGTACAATTAAAAAGTGCCGTAACTGATCTTAATTGTGCATCTTCACCCATTTTTCTATATGTACCACGATAGATAAAATTATTTTCTATAGATGGTATTTGTAATTCGAAAATACAATGTTTACCCATTATTGTTAATACAAGTAGATGATTATTTGTTGTTGGTATTTGTGAAAAAGAGATTATTACGGATGATTGTAATATATCTTGTTTAACATAACGTGTCGTTTGTAAACGTTTACGTTTATGTATTTCAATAATATTTGCATCGAGTTTTGCATGATTTTCTTGATTAAGTTTTAAAAATACGCGTAATTCATTTAAATTTCTTTGCCAATACATTTTTAATGGATTACGATTATTGATTGTTATTGTTGTTTGTTCGATTGAATTTGTCCATAGGGTTTCAGTTGATAAACAATCGATACGTAATGGAAGATTAAGTAGTGATTGTAACTTTTCTTGACAAAGATTATAATGATTTTGTTGTAATTGATTTAATGGTGATGGTAATAACCAATTATCAATATTCATGCTTTTTTTGAGTTCATAGAAGAAAAATAAATATGTTGTCTTGGTGATTTTTTATTTTAGATGAAACAATTATCATTAAAACATTTTATTATTCGTTCACAAGCTATTGCATTATATAGAGATATAATGAGAACATTATTGAAAATTCAAGATCAAGATTATCGAAAAGAAAGTTAGTGAAATATTCTTTTTTTTGTTTTATTTTGTTTATCAAAACTATTTTTTAGTGCGAGACTGGGCAAGAATTGAATTTAATCGTCATCGAACATTGAAAGATTTAGGAGAAATTAGAACACAGATAGCATTAGGAAGACGAAATTTAAATGAATTAAAATTATCTATGCAAATGGCTTCTTAATTTTGAAAGCTTTTTGTTTGATTTAGTTTTATATTGTTTTTCTTTGTATTCTAGATGGCTACTGAAGGTAAAGGAGATACGGCAACAACAGCAACGACAACAACATCGCCAACCATTCCATTACATCGTCAAGTAAGATAAGAATCAATCATTTATCAAATCTTTACACGTAGATCAATTTAAGTCGAATATTATTAATTGATTTAGGTCGTGCTAAGTATATTAATAATATTTAAGATAACTGAAGCAGATTTAGATGAAGTTTTTCAGTATACATGTAATAATTAAGATAATGATAATTTTGATTTATTAGGAATTATTAAAATGGCAAGGATGGGGTTATCGTGATTCACGTTTTTTTATAAATTCAAATGGTTTAATTGAATTTTCGGGTTCACGTTATTTACTTAGTGGACATGTTCTTCCACGTTTAAAAGATTGGATGTTTAGTAAATTAAATGCAAGCATCGATAATTACTCCCCAAGTGTACAAGAACCTAATCCTGATTATATACAAGAACCAATTCTTAATAATTCATTTATAACTGATTTTCAATCTACACTTGGTTCAACTGTTCAATATTCAGCTGATATGAATGATCGTCTATTTCATGGTCATGGACATACACTTGAAGAAATATGGAAATTACGAAATGGTGGAAAATTTGAACGACTACCGGATTGGGTTGTCTGGCCACGTAGTCATAGTGATGTAGAAAAAATTGTACGTCTAGCTGTTAAACATAATATTTGTTTAATACCATTTGGTGGTGGTACATCTGTAACATGGGCTTTATTATGTCCAACTAATGAAAAACGTATGATTGTTAGTGTTGATACATCTCAAATGAATAAAATTTTATATTTGGATGAAAAAAATTTAACTGCACGTATTCAATCAGGTATTATTGGACAAGATCTTGAACGTGAATTAGCAAAGAAAGGTAAAATAAAATTATTTATTTTTATTTTTATAATATCTTCTTCGAACTATTTAGGATATTGTACTGGACATGAACCTGATAGTATGGAATTTAGTTCATTAGGTGGTTGGGTAGCTACACGAGCATCAGGAATGAAAAAAAATGTTTATGGAAATATCGAAGATTTAGTTGTTCATGTAACAATGGTAACAGCTAAAGGAACCATTGAAAAAAGTTGTTTAGGTCCTCGACAATCAATTGGACCTGATATTAATCATGTTATTATGGGTTCGGAAGGTACTTTAGGTATTGTAACTGAAGTAACAATGAAAATTCGACCATTACCAGCTAGTAAAAAATATGGTTCAATTGTTTTTCCGGATTTTGAATCAGGTGTAGCATGTTTACGTGAAGTAGCACGTTTAAGAAGTGCACCAGCTTCCATACGTTTACTTGATAATGAACAATTTCTATTCGGACAAGCATTATCTACAGATAATAAAGGAATGTTACATTCATTAGTTGATAATATGAAAAAATTATATATTACAAAAATAAAAGGTTTTGATATTAATCGAATGTGTGCAGCTACATTACTTTTTGAAGGAACAACAAATGAAGTTAATCAACGAGAAAAATTTGTTTATGATATTGCACAAAAATATAATGGAATGCCAGCGGGTAAAAATTGTCGCTTCGTTTTTGAAAATATATTATTTTTTTTAATTTCAGGAGAAGAAAACGGTCTCAAAGGATATACATTAACCTTCATGATAGCCTATTTACGAGATATTGGTCTTGATTATCGAATAGTTGCTGAATCATTTGAAACATCTGTACCATGGGATCGTGTTATTGGTAAATAAGAAAAAATGTTTTTCGATTGAACTGAAAAAAATGACTCTTTTTTTAAGATTTATGCCGTAATGTTAAAAAACGTATTATTACCGAATGTGAAAAACAAGGTGTTAAACATCCACCATTTTCTTCATGTCGTGTAACACAAACATATGATGCTGGTGCTTGTGTTTACTTCTATTTTGTTATGAATTATAATGACATTCGTCAAGGTGGTGATCCTGTTCATATTTATGAACTTGTTGAAGAAGCAGCACGTGACGAAGTATTAGCCAATGGTGGAAGTTTATCACATCATCATGGTGTTGGTAAAATACGTACAAAATGGATAAAACAAGCTGTCAGTGACCTTGGTGTTGGTACAATGAAATCAATTAAAGAATATCTTGATCCAGATAATATCTTTGGTTCGAAAAATTTAATTCCTGAATCAGATGAAGTCAATGAACATCTCAAAGCTAAACTTTAAAAATAAACTGTGATCAAATATAATAACATTTTTTTTTTAAAAATTCTATCGATATATATTATTTCATCAAAACAAAAGAATCGCTTTTACTACTAAAGAAAATTTATTGTTGTCGTTTGTCTTTTTGAGATTGATTGTTTTTTCTTTTCTTATTTGATCGTTTATTAAACAAAAATATATCCTTCCGTTTAGCAAAAACATATTAACAAATGTTTTTTTAAGATTAATATGACATCAATTCGGCAATTTAAATTAACAGATCTATTAAGAATAAATAATGTGTAAGAAACATTTGATTTACTCATTCATAATGATAAATTTCATTTTTATGTTTAGAAATTTAGATATTTTTACTGAAAATGTAAGTCAAGAACAAAGAAATATTCAACGAAAATATTATTATTAATATTTAGTATGGTCTGTCGTTTTATTTACATTATTTAGCTCGATGGCCAGAATGTTTTTTTGTAGCCATAAATCCTGCTCAAAGATTAATGGGTTATAGTAAGTTTTAATATATTGAATAAATTCATATTTTTGAATTTATTTTTATAAATATAGTTATGGGAAAGATTGAAGGTGAGTTATGTGAAAAAATGTGCTTAGAATTTTATTCTTCAATAAAGGCAAACATGAAAATTATCATGGTCATGTGACAGCTTTATCAGTAGCGCCTGAATTTCGTCGTATAGGTGTATCATCACAATTAATGGCATTATTAGAAAATGTATCTGAACAGTAAATTAAAACTATTTTCCTCTTATATATTTTTATTCAATGATTTTCTATTTAAATATCTAGAAAAAAAACTTATTTTGTTGATTTATTTGTTCGTGTATCAAATAAACGTGCGGTTGATATGTATCATAAATTAAATTATGTTGTCTATCGACGAATTATTGGATATTATTCTGGTGAACGAGATGAAGATGCATTTGGTAAGAAAAAAAAAGAAATAATAATAATGTCTTGTATTTTTTATTTTATTAGATATGAGAAAAGCATTATCGCGAGATGTAGAAAAAAAATCGTTAATACCAATTCCACATCCTGTGCGACCGGAAGATTTGGTTGATGATTAATATTTACTTCTGCATGTGTATATATATATATATTAGTTATTTATTTGTTAGAGAGATTAATAAAAAATAAATAGAAAATTTTTTGTCTAGTCTAATATTTGACATTCCGCACTTGTTGGTGAACAATCTTTATATTGTTTAAATCGACCATCTTGTTCATCACTATTTTTTATACAAACACATCGTTCAACTTTTGTTAAACTATCAAAATATCGTCGTGGTACACCAATCCATTCGCGTTCGATTCCACCACTAAATAAAATTATATCTATGTTATCTTTATCAACGAATACTTTCTGTTTTTCTTTTTGATAGTCCCGTAAGATAAACTAACTTATCTACCTTTTTTCTGTACACCATACTCGTCGACCAGTATCATGTGACCATTCACTGTTACATGGTGGCCATTTTTGTTCGAAACTTGCTTTGTCTTCATCTTTCTATATGAAAATTTAATATTAAATATCAATGAATGCTAAGGGATGTATATATATATTAACCTTTTTCATATTATTAACAGATGTAAGAACATTAGTAAAATCTTTTGTTGGTGTTCCATTCGAATCAAAATATCGACCAATTAATTTACCTAGAGAATAGAATATGTAAAATTGAATTTGACAAAAAAATAAATAATACCGATTTTTGGATATTGTTTTTCATAGAATGTTAACCATTGATATATTCCAGCAATTGCTTCATCATTTAATCCAGTTAAGTCATCAGTTAAATCTTCATCGGATGTTTTACCCGTATGAAAACTACGAGAAGCATCTCGACCTAAATATATTTATCTATATAGAATATTAATAGTTCTCTAACTGATAAATTTATAATGTATTTTACATAGAAGACTAAAGGTTATCACCCGCTAAGAATCGATGCATATAAAATAGAAAAACTCAGCAGTATGATCCAATCAAGTTATGATTAATGCAGAACAAATGTATTTAATTAGCATGTGTTAAATAGTTTTTATTGACTGTTTCTACGTACCTGTATAGAATTTATAACTTCCCGACGATGAATAAAATCGCGGTGCTGATGAAACGTTAAAAACGTGTCCTAAAGTAATATTTTGATAGATTATTTCGTTTTATTTTAATAATTTTTACCTAAAATAGCTAAATATAATTCATCTTTTGTATATGATTGAAGTTCATCAGATGTAAATAAACGTTCTTTTTGTATAGGAATATTTTTATCAGCTAGTTGTTGTTGAGTGACAAAGGAAATAACTAATATTAACGCACAAGAGATTATCCAGAATTTGTATCTAGGAGAAAAAAACAAGAGAAATAATCTTTTCATTAACTATATTTAGTTTATGATAAAAAAAGTCTCATATATTCTTTTTTTTCGTATTTGATAAAATTTTATAATAAATATGTCAGAATGATTATTTATTTTTTCTTTACTTATTTATATGTAAATATGTAAAAGTATTCAGCGTACTTTGATAAGAATGAAGGCGTTGGTGGTGGTTGATTCACGGATGTTTTGGAACCTTTGTTTGTTGTTGACTAAAAATAGATCGATTAAAAAAGTATATGTATTTTTTATTATCCAATTCATTTCCTAATCAATAATTACAAAAATTTATAAATTTCCTTTTCTTGTTTTTCTACTACTAATCATTTATTTATTGCTTTTAACTATGAATATTTGTGTTGTTGTAAAATGAGTAAAGAATTCTTTATTGACTTAATAAGAAATCCTATCAAAAACAACTTTGAAATTAAAGTATAATAAAAAAAAGTATAATGAAGCGAAGGTCAAGTTTCTTTTGTGTCTCCTACCATGATAAATGTTGTGTTCTTTCGTTTTGTAAAAAAAATGAAGAAAAAAAACACGGTAGATTTTGAGTTGCTTGTAACTTATCTTTTACCTAAAAGACGCTTTATGTAATAATAATAATACACCAACTATTTCGATTTTCTTTCTTTACGTATACGCATCTGCTGTCGTATTTTTTGTTCTCTTTCGTTTGTATATGTTTAATACGTTTTTTTTTT